CCGTGCGCTCGCCTCTGCTCCTCGGGGCTGGCATTCTCTCGGGAGAAGACAAGGAACCCACCAGCCCAGTGTGTCGGTGGCGATGTGTTGCTGGAGGAAAGAAAGCAGGGGCGGGGGAGGCGGTTGGCATTTTCAGAAGGGGTTCGGGGACAGGGTCCCCAGGAGGGGATGTTGGAACACAGTCCCGCGGGAAGCGCCGGCTGAGCGGAGTGGTCACCGGGACAATGGCCGGTGAAGAGGCCAGAGGGGTGTGGGCACCTTCTGTCCAGAGGACAGTGAGGACCCGCGTGGCTGCGACAGCGCGGGGTGGGGAGCAGAGGCAGAGGGTCTTCGGACCCGGGTGTGGGGTGCGGCTGAGGTCCAGCCTGGAGCCACGTGGAGCCTGGTGGCCCAGCATCAGCTCACGTGGATCCTCCTTCCCTGCCGGGAGGGAGGGTCGTCGGGACTGTTTTACATTCGAGGACGCGGAGGCTGTGGGGTGACTCCTGCAGGGCCTGGACTCCCCCCAGGTCTGCCGGAGCCCGCCGGCACCCGCGCTGCCCTGCGCTGCCCCCTGCAGGTGGTGCGGCTGAGAGCACCGCCGGGCTTTCCTGCAGGGGGCGCTGGGCCCCGTGGGCCGTGTCATCCCTGCCTTTCCTCCGGCTCTCTCGCCCCCACCCGTCTTGGCCCTGGGCAGGGGCTGTAGGAGTGAGGACAGGGCAGGAGCGCTCATGGCCAGGCGCTCATGGTCTGTGGCTTTTGTACAGACCGAGACCTCCCTGCCACCAGGGCATTGAAAGAAGCTGTCTTCCAGGCCCCCTCCCCATGGAGGTCCCTCCACATTGAGGTTCTTCCAACGTGACCCCCCGCCCCCCCAACGTAGAGGCCTTACTCAGAAATGGAGTCCAGTCTGATGGAGGAGGCATGGGGTGCGGGTGGGGTGCTCAAGCAAAAAGTGGAGGCACATTGCCAAAACCGATTTGGCTCAGTGGATAGAGCGTCAGCCTGGGGACTGAAAGGTCCCGGGTTCGATTCCGGTCAAGGGCATGTACCTCGGTTGTGGGCATATTACCAGTGGGGGGGTGCAGGAGGCAGCTGATCGATGATTCTCTCTCATCAATGTTTCTAACTCTCCATCCCTCTCTCTTCCTCTCTGTAAAAATCAATAAAATATATATATATTTTTAAAAAGTGGAGGCACCATCTCAAAAAACTAAAAATAGAACTCCCATTTGACCCAGTAATCCCACTTCTGGGACTATACCCCAAGAAATCAGAAAGCACATGTGCACCCCTATGTTCATAGCAGCACAATTTACCATTGCTAAGATTTGGAAACAGCCTAAGTGCCCATCAGCAAATGAGTGGATTAAAAAACTGTGGTACATCTACACAATGGAATACTACGCTGCTGTAAAAAAAAAAAAAAAAGAATTTTTACCATTTGCAACAGCAGGGATGGGCCTGGAGAGCATTATGCTAAGCGAAATAAGGCAGAGAAAGATAAATATCACCTGTTCGCACTCATTTGTGGAATATAATGAACAACATAAACTGATGAACAAAAATAGAATCAGAAGAAAAAAGATATTTTAGAACATGAGTAATCCCATTATTTGCAGATTTTTAATGCTTCCTACAACTTTTGTGATACTATACTAAGTACAGTTTTGGTAATATTTAAATATTTTTTAATTGATTTTTCACAGAGAGGAAGAGAGAGAGTTAGAAACATTAATGAGAATCATCGATCAGCTGCCTCCTGCACACCCCCTACTGGGGATGTGCCCGCAACCACCGTACATGCCCTTGACCGGAATCGAACCCGGGACTTTTCAGTCCGCAGGCCGATGCTCTATCCACTGAGCCAAACCGGTCCTGGCAGTTTTGGTAATATTTAAAATCTTTTTTCTTGAAACAGTTTATTGCATGTAATATTATTATATTTAAAATCACTTTTCTTGAAATATTAGTGTTTATTGCATGTAAATGGCAAATTATTTTATATATATTAAAAAAAAAAAAAAGGTGGAGGCACTGACGTGGGCAGGTTGTGCCAGTGGCAGGTCCTGGGCTGCCTGTGTGATGTCGGCAGAGTCGACCTCTGCATTTTTTTGGAGAATAAATGAGCAGGAGAGGGTGGGGTGGCCCCTGCCTCTCCCCTGACAGGCAAGGACAGAAGAGAGTGGGACAGAGAGAAGGGGCAGGGGGGCGGGGGTGATTTCCCAGTGCCTCTCCTTTGAGCAAGCCTGAAGAGCATCTTCCAGAAGGGTCTCCCCAAGTTCCGTTTTGCAGCTTACAAGCTCCAGAGATGAGGGCGCTCCATGGCCGGAACGTCATCCTTTGGACAGTGTGGAGCAACGTCAGGGTGTGAGTGACGCTATGCTTGTTTTACGGAGAGCGTCTTCGTATCTCAGTAAAACGAGCCTGAACGTTTCTAACGTAAAGGCACCAGTTCCATGCCGCATCGCAGTGAAGACTGGACCACACTGGCTCTGGTTCTTGTGTCTGGCCCCAGACCTTCCAGGTCCAAGGGAGACCTTCCACCCACCCACCCCCACCCCAAGTCCAGCTCCGTGCACGCACCGGTTTCTGAGCGGACTGAATCGGGCTCTGGTTTGCAGGCCCAGGAAACACCAGCTTAAGCCTCAGGTGTGGTCAGTCAGGGCCTGGCGTTGTCCTAATCAGTGATGGGACCTGGCAGAGTCAGCCTGCCAAGGGGCAGTGATGGAATGTGAGCAAAGGGGCTGCCAGGAGCCTGGCAAGCTATGGGGGGAGGAAGAGCAGCATGGAAGTTCCGAGAAGTTCAGTGCCGGAAAGTAACCACACAGATGGTCTGGTCATAAATCCCCAACTGGCAGGCGGTCACATCCCAGGCCAAAGCTTCCTGAGCAAATGTCAATTCTGACCTTAAGTGAGCCCGACCATTGTTTTTATGCATCTAGGATAATATACCTTTGAAATGGAGTTAATTTCTTTTTTAATTTTTTATTTGACTTTAGAGAAAGGGAAAGAAACATCAATTTGTTGTTGAGTTCTTTATGCATTTATTGGTTGCATATATATATATATATATATATATATACATATACACACATTAATTGAATTTTAGAGAGAGAAAGAGAAGCATCCATGTGCGAGGGGAACATGGGTCAACTGCCTCGTGCACGCCCCCTACAGGGGATTGAGCCCACAACGGGGGCATGTGCCCTGGGGCAATGGAACCAGCAACCTTTTGGTGCACAGGATGGCTCTCCAACCTATTGAGCTACCTGGTCAGGGCTTCAGAGTAATCTTCCTTTCCACACCCGTGGAAGGCACAACTGCAGGCACCAGAGCACAGGCCCACCCTCCCTGCCATCTCGTTGCCTGTACACCATCCCTCTTTACTGGGAAAGTGAGTTAACTCTCCTGTACCCACCCACGTAAAAGAAATATGCGCTTCGCCGAAACAGGTTTGGCTCAGTGGTAGAGCGTCGGTTTGCGGACTGAAGAGTCCCAGGTTCGATTCGGTTAAGGGCATGTACATTGGTTGTGGGCACATCCCCAGTGGGGGGTATGCAAGAGGCAGCTGGTCGATGTTTCTTTCTTTTCTTTTTTTTTTTTAAAATATATTTTATTGATTTTGTACAGAAAGGAAGTGAGAGAGATAGAGAGCTAGAAACATCAATGAGAGAGAGTCATCGATCAGCTGCCTCCTGCACACCCCCCACCGGGGACATGCCCGAAACCAAGGCACACGCCCCCGACCAGAATCGAACCCGGGACCCCTCAGTTCCCAAGCCGACGCTCTATCCATTGAGCCAAACTGGTCTTGGCCGATGTTTCTTTCTCATCGACGTTTCTAGCTCTCTCTCTCCATTCCTCTCTGTAAAAAATCAATAAAATATATTAAAAGAAGAAGAAGAGGTATGCGTTTCTCCATTTTCCTTTTTATCCAGTCCTGGAGATTTCCCCACTTTGCTTTCTGCCGCTTCTGTAATCTCCCTCCAGTGGAGTTCATGTAGCGTCTCCTTTGATCCTAATGTATAAATTAGCTGCGATACTGCCACTCTCCGAGCATTTTCTCAATCGCTGAGATTTTGCACGACCTGGAACTCTGTGGCTCAAATAAACTCATAGAAGTTTCCTATAGGCGGGGCATAGTTTCATCTATAATATTAGAGGTTTCCTGAAGATTGGGAAACATGCGGTCCAGGTCAGTTCCAGGTGGGGAAGATGCTGGGAGGTGCCTGGCTTTCCCACCGCAGAAAGCGGGCAGCAACGGCCTCTGGTGGCCAGGCCCCTGGATGCCTCCTCCCCGTGGAAGCATGTGATTAATTTACAAGGGGCTTCTCAGGGCTCAGGAGTCTGGAGAGGGCCAGGTGCACCCACTCCCTCCCATGACAAAGGGGAAACCGAGGCCCGCAGAGCGGAGGTCACTTCGTGTGAAGTCGCACACGAAACACGGGGAGCATTGAGGATGGAACCTGGGTCTCTCACTCCACGGATGAGATTCCAAGCGACAGGTGTGTTTGTTAAATCGGCATTTGTTTTCAGCGCGTTCGGAGGAGCGACCCATTGAAGGAATTCCCGAAAGGTGAAGAGCTGGCTCTTAAGAAGGAGCTGAGCGAACACCCAGCCAAGCGAGCGCTTTAAGAGGGTAAACAGACCAGAACTCACTTCCGGGATTCTTACCGCTAGCGCCCCGCCGGTTAATCACGGCTCTCAGTCTCGCCCGCAAGGCATCTTGGGAAACGTAGTCCCAGTTCCCTCCAGACGTCAGGTGGCGGCCGTCTTGGAACTGCATTTCCCAGAAAGCTGTGCTTGCCGGCTCGACCGGGCTACGGGCGGGTGGGGCGAACGCCCGGACCAGGGCTTTGGAAATTCCCTGGGAGGATGAGCGTCGGTGGCCAGAGGCCGTGGGCGGCGCCGTCCACAGGCCGCCTGGCCTGGCCAAGGTTGGAGCGGAGGCCGTGGAGCCGGCCCTACAGCTCTGCTTCCGGTAGGGGAGCAACTAGCCCAGGCGCCGCGTCTCCTTTAACCGCGGTGGGCGGGGCGAGGGGACGCGACCGGCGTTGCTATTGGCGGCGGTTGGGGGCGCGGAAACTGAACGCGCCGCAACGGCCGCGGCTGCCTCCTCGGGCTCCTGCGGCGCCTCGGGCGCCCGGGCCCCGCCATGGCCGCGCCCTGTGCGGTAAGTGCTTGCTGGCGGCCGCCGCCGGGCCTTAGTCTCCGCGCACGGCCCGTGGGGCCCTGGCCGGGGCCCTGGCTGCGGGGGACGGGGGCCTCCGGGCTCCGAGCCCGTCTCGGCGGCCCCGGTTCCCCGTCTGCAGGACGCGCAGGGTCGGGGCGCCTCCTGCGTGCCAGGCCCTGTGCGGGCGGCCGGCGAACGTCCCCGCGGAGGCCAGAGGGAGGGGTGGTTTTGAACTTGCAGGCCTCCCGGCTGGGCCAAGAGCCCGGGAGGCTGGGTGGCGGCCTGTTGGTCCCCGTAGGCACCTGGGGACTGACGTGAGCCGAGGACCCAGGCATTCTGGCCCCTAGTCTGCTCTTCCCGCAGGATTACCCCCCCCTTCGTTCCCAGTAAATGCAAACCACCTGGGGGCTGGGGGGGGGGGGGGGGGATGAACCACACTGTCCCTGGGGTTGGCGGAGAGGGTGTTGCGACATGTCCGGGTCCGCGGGTCAGGGGTGAACCTGAACTTGCTCTGCCCAGGGAGCCTAGAGGTGGGCACTGTCTTACTCTTGTTCTTCTCAGAGAGGACGGCAGGGCAGTTGCTCTGTTGGGGGCCCTCCCCCAGCTGCCACTCCCTCTGTTGTTGAAAGGAGTACGGGCAGGTGTGTTGGGGGCGGGCAGGTGTGTTGGGGGCGGAGCTGGGCTGGTCTGGTTACCGCTCTGTAGGGTGGCCTGGCCCTGCTGGGCTCCCCGGTGATGCTTGGGGTATGGGGAGGTGTTTGCAGCTGGCAGCGATCTCGGTGCTAAGCGGGAGCTGTCCTTGGATGCAGAGGCTCCCACGTGGGCCTGAGCCAAACTCCTGGTCGGACCATCCTCGTGGAGCAATGTCTGCCGGCTTCCTGAGCGGGCCCTGACCCGGGGCCTGGCGCTGGGTTGGGTAGAGATGGTGGCGATGCCGCCAGGACTCTCCTCTGAGCTCACAGGCCGTTGCGCAGTGGGATGGGTGCCTGAGGTGGGGGGCTGCTGAAAGGCACCGTTTTCTCTCTTTCGGTCTCAGAAAAGTAACTGAGATGTTATTCATGTACCATGTAATTCACCCTCCTAAAGTGGAAAACAGTGGTTTTTAGTGACTTCACAGTGTTTATTATGCAGCCGTCATCACTGTCTCATTCCAGAACTTTTTTGTCAACTCAGAAGCCCCCATACCCAGTAAGCAGTCACCCCCTTCCTGTTACACACACACACACACCCCCAGCTCCTGGCCCTCGCTGCCCTATTTTCTGTCTCTTCTGCACATTTTCTGTACATGGAGTCAGACAGAACGTGGCCTGTGAGTCTGGCTCTCTCACTGGGAATGTCCTCTGGGCTCACCCGTGTTGTAGCGTGTCGGTGCTCCGTGCCTCCTGGGCTGAGGTTCCGTCGCGGAGACAGGCCCCATTTTGTTGACCCACTCATCTGGAGGCTCTGGGCTTGTCCACTCTTTGCCCGTTAGACTGAAGCGCCCGGAACCTTGGTGTGCTGGTTTTTGTGTGAGCACGTTCCCAATTCTTTCAGGTGCTTACCTTGAATTGCTGGGTCATTTGATAAATAACTAATTTTTTGAGGAACTGCCAAACTGCTGCTTACAGGGGCTCATTTTTCTTGTTCTTTTTTTTTAAAGACTTAAGATTTTGTCTATTCTGGCTGTCTCACATTTTCATACGAATTTTAGATCCACTTGTCAAATTCTGTAACAAAACAAAAAAGCCACCTGCGGTTTCATCGGGTTCTGTTGAACGTGTAGAACAATTTGGGGGATTTTACACCTTAAAAATATCAGGTTTCCCAAGCGGTGGGCATGGGCTATCTTTCTGTTTACCTGGTTTTTCCCCCTAAGTTTCTTTCAATGGTATTTTTATTTTTATTATTATGTTCTTTCTTATATGTATCAAAACTCATACTGAGCAATGAGTTCTGGGTTGCAAAAGAGGCTTTATTTTTAGCACTTGTATGTAGTTTTTGTCCACAAATTACAAAAACAAACATAAGTGCTATTCAATGGTATTTTATAGTTTTCACTGGATACGTCTGATATTTTTGTTAAATTATTCCTATTTTACATCTTTAAAGTGTGTCATAAACAGAACTGTTACCTGACTTTCATATTGTTTCCTGTTGGTATACAAAATTACAATTGATTTTTATATATCGATTTTGTATTCTAAAACCTTACTGAACTTAATTGTTAGTTCTAATAGTCTTTTAGTGGGTTCCTTAGGTTCCTATCTACTAAAGAGGGAATATGCTAATTGACCATCACTGCCACAAAGATGGCTGCACCCACAGCTGAGGCCAAGTTCCCATAAGGAGCCTTAACGAGCAATCAGCAGGGACCTGAGGCCACCCTCCCCCGCCCCCTGGGGCTTAACTAGGGACCTCAGGCCGCACCCCTCACCCCAGCACTGGGCCAGGGGACCTGAGGCTATCCCCCTGCCCGGCAGAGCTTGACAAGGGTGGGACTGGCCAGGTCTGGATCTAGCCCAAATTGGGGGGGGGGGGGGGGGGCGGGCTGGCCGGCCGGCCGGGTCTGGGTCTCATTTTGAGGTGCATGTATGTGGGCAGGGACTTGACTCTGGGTGCCATGGTGAGCCCAGACTCTGACAGGAGGAAGGTTTTCATATACATTTTAATAATTTTCTTTCATCTCTGACACTTCTATTATAGAGAAAGGGCAAATGGCAATATTAAATTATTTCTTCTAATTAATCCCTTTCTAATGTGCAGGCATTTTGTGCACTGGGCCACTAATTTCTTTATATAGGGTCAAGCTGTGAGTATTGTAAACCACCCCCCCCCCGGCCCAGAAACCTCTTCCTCACCCAGCTGTCCCACATTTGACGTCTCCCCAGGAGGACCCCTCGCTGGAGAGGCACTTTAAGGGCCACCGAGATGCAGTTACCTGTGTGGACTTCAGTCTCAACACCAAGCACCTGGGTAAGGAGCCGTCCTGTCCTGGCACTAGCTTGTGCACTGAGAAGGCTGGTGTCCCCCGGAGGTGAGGCTGGGGAGCAGGGCACTGCGAGGACCCACGTGCTCCTCTGGACGCGCTCTGGCCAGCCCGCTCTCGGGTGCTGGGCTGCGAGGTGTGAGGCTCAGAGAGGTTGGGGGCCTTTGAGGGTGGGCCTGGGGTCTGTGGTTCCCCTTGGATGTGGCCTGTGGATCGGGCTCCTCCTCCTCCAGTCTCCACTGAGTGTGTCCTCGGTGATGTGGGCCGAGGAGCAGCCTGCAGAGGGAAGGGTGAGGAGCAGGCCCAGCACCCCCCTCTTAGCCCCCAGCGTGGCCGCTCGGGGTTCATACGCAGCGGGCGTTTGCTTGTTTCTATGGGTGAGATTCCCTCCTCACCTCAGGGTCCAGTCCCCTCTTGGAGGCTGCTGGCCTTGGAAACTAAGTCATTTTTGGTTCATGTGGGGCCTCCCATGGCTTCTGCGGGGCCAAAGGCTCTCAGTGCCCTCGGGGGGTGTCTGGGGACCTGCAGCCAGGGCTGGCTCCCATCGGCCTGCTTCCCAGGCCCTGGCAGCATTCACCAGGGGTGTGGCTGTTCCCGTGGGGCCAGGGGCGCTGCTGCTCTCCTGTCCCTGTCACCCCAAAGCCCTGCTGGGTCCGAGGCCCCAGAGTGAGGGTCACGGGCTCCCGCTCTCCCAGCCAGCGGCTCCATGGACTCGTGCCTCATGGTCTGGCACATGAAGCCCCAGTCCCGAGCCTACCGCTTCACTGGCCACAAGGACGCCGTCACCTCCGTGAACTTCTCCCCTTCCGGCCACCTGCTGGCCTCGGGCTCCCGCGACAAGACCGTCCGCCTCTGGGTGCCCAACGTGTGAGTCCCGGACTCTGGTCCTGTCTGCATCCGGGGCCCTGGGGAGCGCTGTCCCCGCCCGGACCCCTCTGGTCAGGGCTGGTCACTGCGGGACATCCCCCACTCCCCAGGGGGCGCTGTCGGGAGCTGAGGCCTCGGAGGAAGGGGGGCTGACCCTGGCCATTGTGAAGCGACACACTGGCTGCTGCTGCACGTGGGGATGTGGGGGGCATGGGGGATGTGGGGGGCGTGGGGGGCGTGGGGGATGTGGGGGGCGTGGGGGGCGTGGAGACTCAGGGAAGGGCTCCCAGGGGGAGGCCCTCCTGTTGCTGATTCTGGGCGCCTGTCCTCATAGCAAAGGTGAGTCCACTGTGTTCCGAGCCCACACAGCCACGGTGCGGAGCGTCCACTTCTGCAGCGACGGCCAGTCCCTCGTCACAGCCTCCGACGACAAGACCGTCAAGGTGTGGTCCACCCACCGCCAGAAGTTCCTGTTCTCCCTGAGCCAGCACATCAACTGGGTCCGCTGTGCCAAGTGAGCCGCCTGGGGGGGTGGGGGCGACACAGAGGGCCTGCCGGGCGCCGGCACCCTGACGGGGCAAGCTGGCCGCTCCCTGATCTTCCTGAGCCTCAGCTTCCTCATCTGGGAAATGGGAACGATAATACCGCTTCCATTAGGAGTTGTTGAATACTGAGTGATGGGTGACCAGTGAGTTACCCGGTTGTCATGGTGACTGACATCAGGGCTTAAACAGCCCAGGGCAAGACAACAGCGATAAGATGAATTCAGCACGGCCGCCCCGCCCTCTGACTCCGGGCAGTCCTGGGCGGGGCGTTGGGGAGGAGGGTGTCACTGTTTGCCTGAGGAGACTGAGGCTCAGAACCGGGCAGTATCTTGCCCCGGGCATAGGGTGGGTGTGTGCAGAGCTGGGTCCAGCCCCTCCTTGGCACCGAGGCCGCCTCCTTTCCTCCTGGTGCTGCTCGGGCGTGTCTTGCTCAGGTCTGTGGGATGGGGCCAGGCTTCTCGCTGGCCTTCCCCATGTGGGGAGCAGTGCTGAGGGGACGGGGTGACCCAGAGGACCTTTCGGAGGCCGTAACTGTGCCTGCTTCCAGCCACCTGTCAGATCTCTGACCCAGTGGAGGAGGTGGGGTGTGGGACACTGGGAACCATGGGAGTCGGAGGTCAGGGACTGGCTGTGTTCTGGGACCCCATGCAAGTTACATGCTCTCCAGGGCACCCGGTCCCTTGTGCTGGGAGGTCCCCGAGGCTCTGAGGTCCCGCCATCAGGTGCCCAGAACCCCCACGTTGTTGCTGCAGTTTGTGCGTTGCTGACCCACTGGGAGTCACAGACTCGGACCTGGAACATCACGGGCTTTAGGCCACCCTGACACTGACAGCGCCAGCAGTCCGCGCCCACATGGCTCCTCCCCCCTTCCCGCCAGGCGCGGGCCTGCCCATCTCGCAGAGGGCCAGCTGTGGCCCAGGGTCACTGGTCAGAGCAAGGCATGTAGCCGCTGGTTCCTGGGCCCAGGTAGCGCAGTGCAGGAGGGGGCTGTGGGAGGTGTGGCGCTGTGACAGCTCAGCCTGCGGTGTGACTTGCTTGTCTGACTCAGGTTCTCCCCCGACGGGCTGCTCATCGTGTCCGCCAGTGACGACAAGACTGTCAAGCTGTGGGACAAGACCAGCCGGGAGTGTGTGCACTCGTACTGCGAGCATGGCGGGTGAGTCCCTGCCGCCTCCGCCTGCCGAGCTTCCGGAAAGCGGGCCAGGCAGCCGGCTCTGCCACCCCCTGGCTCACTGTCCAGCCCCATCCCTACCAATGAGGGGGGAGCTTAACCCCAGGGCATGTAATTCTTGGGGCCCCACTTTTCACCCTCTGCTTCTCAGAACTGTGGTGTCTGTGAATGCAGTTGAACCCACACGCCCTATAAGCACGTGGGTGTGATCCCCGCGCGGTGGTGGCTTTGTGAGCAGCGGACGGTGGGGGCTCTTCCCATTGCCGTGTCATCGGGAGCAGGAGGGCCTGCAGCTCAGCGGACTCCCTGTTCTGGGTTCCTCTGCACCCGCGCTCCTGCCCTCCCAGTGAGCCCGCCTGAGAGCTGGCATGCTACCTCCGGGTGTCCCGCCCGGGTACATTGGGGGCCCAGGCCCTGCTGGCCCTCGCGTGGGCCTCAGCGGGCAGGCCTGCCTGCCTCCAGCCCTGGCGAGGGCGCCGTCTCTGCCTCGGAGCCCGAGCAGCGGCTGACCTTGGTCTGAGACTGCTCTCGGGCCTTGTGTTTAGGTGTGCTGGCCTTGCTCGGTCGTTGCTGGCACCGCTCCTCCTTGCTCAGAGACGGAGGGGGGAGCATTCTGGGGCAGCGTGAGAGAAGAGAGAGAGCACAGGCTCTGATGGCCCTGTCTCTCCAGCTTCGTCACCTACGTGGACTTCCACCCCAGCGGCACCTGCATTGCGGCCGCCGGCATGGACAACACGGTGAAGCTGTGGGACGTGCGGACCCACCGGCTGCTGCAGCACTACCAGCGTGAGTGGCCCCGCACCCCGGGCTGCGCCGCGCTGGCTCTGCCTCCCCGGGGGCTGTGGACAGCCCTGGCAGGGAGCAGCCCGGGCCGGCAGGATCAGGGCGGGAGCCTTGGCCAGGAGATGGACAAGCTCTTGTCCCGCTTTATGAGCGGCAGAGGCGCGTGCTCGCTGCAGGGCCGGGTGGGGAGGGCCCCTCTCCGGGCACCTCAGGCGCTGCCCGTGCCCCTGCCTCCCCGTGGTGGAGGCTCCGCCTCCAGGGCCACGCTGGCAGCCCTTGGCCTGCGAAGGGGACTAAGTTTAACGTTCATGGGCTCACTTCCAAGATTCATACCTGGACACGGGAAGGGCACGTATGAACAAGGTGTGAGCCTGGGGTTCAGAGCAACAAGCCCTTCCTAGTGGGTTCTCAGACGCTTGAGGACAGCACTTACTGGGGTAACCAAAGTGACAGGCCTCCAAGAGGGGGAGCGGGTGGCCTTGAAAGGCACGTGGAGGAGGGGCTCTGCACCCCCATCGTGTCCTGGCTTTGTGACTTGGGTGGGTCGTAACCCCTCTGAGTTTCCTGGGCAATGACAGGCTCTCGCAGGTGGTGCTGAGAGGATAGAGTTGGTCCGTGGAAGAGCTTGGAGAGTGCTGGCAGGAAGCGGGAGCCAGGGAAGTCCATGTCAGTGACCATGACAAGGGTGCTGCTGGTGCCAGGTCTGTCTGGAGTCAGGAGGCCGGCTCCCTGGTCAAGGCCTGCAGTACCTTGTGCGACCACCAGGTGGCAGGGCCAACCACAGGAACCCGTTTTCTCCGCTGAGCCCTGGGGTTTCTCACTGATGATGCCCCTTCCAGAGGCTTCTAGAACAGCAACTGCTAGAGCTGTCCTGGGGGTCTGCCCTCTACTTGGAGGCCACGCCCCTCCCCCATCAGGCTTAGAGGCCTTTCTTCTGCTCCAGGCCTGAACTGGACGTTGGGGAAGGTGGGCAGCACAGGAGCCCTGGCATCAGCCAGAAGGGCTTGGACAGGGAGCAGGGAGGTGCAAGGTTAGGAGCGCAGGCTGCCCCTGTCTGAGGGATGGCATTGGTGCCCTGGTTACAGGGCTCCTGAGGATGGCCATGCAGTGCTGGGAGTGTGGCCCACCTGATGGGTCGGGAGCCTGGTCTGCTGGTGGGCATCCATTGGGGAAGGAAGGCCTTGAATGCCAAGCTGTGGCCCAGTTCTAAAGATGCAGGCTGGCTGCAGCGCTGGACCGCCTCCCTGGAGTGAGGAATGGGAGGCACCTGAGGACCAGTGCCGAGAACTGCGCGGCAGGAAGCAGTGGGCCTGGGGGGCAGGCGGTGGGCTCTCCGTGCCCGATGTCCAAGTGGGGCTGAGCGTCAGCGGAGCAGGTCCCGCCGGGATGGGTTTGGAGCAGAGGTTGTAGCAGTGCCGTGGGGGGGAGGGGACAGCATGAAGAGGGTGAGGGCCCCTGAGTCTGGCTTCTGTCCATCTCGCGCTGGGCTCCTGGCACCAAGTTGATTCTAGTTGTTGCTGGCCCAGGCCCCTGAGGGCTCGGCCTGGCCTGGCGGGAAGCTTTAGCTAGGGCGCCCCGTGCCTGTCCCCAGGCCTCAGCCTCCCCCAGGCCGGCCACGGGTTTTACTGCAGCTGTGAGCCAGCTGCGCCCTGGCATGGCTCTGAGACCAAATGGGCTGGTCAGGCAGTGCAGTCTCCCCGCTCCGGCCAGCTCACGGCCCTCCCCCACCAGCCCTGCAGGGCATCCCGTGACATGCACGGACCCAGCAGCTGCCCTGGGAAGTCCTGTGTTTCTCCCCGAGCTCTGAGCGGGGCCACCCGGCCCAGCCTCGGGGCCCGGGGCCGCCCAGCCACGCTGATGGGTGCCCCTCCCCAGTGCACAGCGCCGCCGTGAACGCCCTCTCCTTCCACCCATCGGGAAACTACCTGGTCACGGCCTCCAGCGACTCGACCCTGAAGATCGTGGACCTGCTGGAGGGCCGGCTGCTCTACACGCTCCACGGGCACCAGGTGAGGGCTGTGCCGCGGAGTGAGGCCATCAGGCGGCAGTGTCTGGTCCCCTCGCTGCCTGGGGTAGGTGAGATGCAGGAACGGTTTGCCCATCAGACCTGCGCCCTCCATCGGAGGGACGGGCTCAGTGGGTAGGACGGCAGGCGGCATCAGCACGTGGTTGTCCGGCTCCTGGGCTGGTTGAATGCCGCCTGTCCCCTCAGCCCCTGGGCATATCGTGGTCCTGCTGGAGTGGAGCCCTGGAGCCACGGCCTTTCTCCAGGCTCTGCAGGCACTGCTGCCTGGGAGCCTCAAACAATGAGCAGGAGGGAGACCGCACATCTGTGGGAACTTGGCTCTGGACGGCTGTGCAGGGGCCCCTGGGCTCGGGGTGGCTGTTTGGGGGCGGCTGTGCGGGGGGTGATTGTGCAGGAACTCCTGGGCTCGGAGCGGCTGTTCGGGGGCGGCTGTGTGGGAACCCCTGGGCTATGTGGGGTGGCTGCACACCTGAGTGGGCTTTGCCGGGGCCTGCAGGTCTGCTTGCTGTGCCCCTAGGAGTCTGGCCCATTGGCTCTTCTCCCCCAGAGCAGAGTCCCGGAGGCCAGGCCAGGGATCCGAGGGCCCCGGGCCGGCTGGGTGCAGTGCCCTCTGAGCTCGGCAGTCCGCCTGTGCCGTCTGCCGGCCCCGCCAGAGAAGCAGGAGGAGAGGAGTCCCTGCTATTGCTGTACCAGGACAGACTGGGGGTCAGGGCTGCCAGGAGCCTCCCCGCAGCACCCTTCGCTGCAGCAGGGAAACCGGGAAGAAGGGCTCTCCCACCGCCCGCGCTGCCCTCAGCCTGTGCCCTCGGAGCCTGTGGCTGTGGCAGCGGGAGGCAATGCACTCGAAATAGAGGCTGATTTTTCTGTATTTTCTGCAGCATCTCAAGCTGCACTCATTTGGTGTGAGTCCCAGAGCTATTTGGGAGCGGGTGTGGGCGGGTGTGGGCGGGAGTGATCTGGTGTTTGTGGCTGTGCAGTGGTCGTGTCGCCGTGGAGTGGCTGAGTGGCATGGGGACCCTCACATGGTTCCACGCGTCCCAGCTGGCCCACCGTGCGGCAGGCAGCCACGGCTGAGCCCGGACCCTGCCCCGGGCTGCTGTCTGCGCTGGGAGCTGGGTGCAATCCCAGGCTCAGATCCACAATGTACTGCAGCTTGTGCATACGGGGCCTCGCGGGGCGGGGAAGTGGCCACAGGGGCCTGCCTGCGGAGGTGAGGCAGCCGTGCACTGGCATGGGTGTTGCAGGTTCAGTCCCTGGCCCTGGTCAGTCGGGGCAGGTGTGGGAGACAACCAGTCCATGTGGCTCTCTCACCTCTCTCTCTCCCTTTCTCTTCCTTTCTCTCCCCCTCCCCTTCCCTCTCTCTTCTCCGTCCTCCCTCGCTTTTACTTTCTCTAAAAATCAATGGAAAAAACACCTTCAGGTAAGGATTTAAAAAAATGGGGGAGAACAGCTCATTAGTTTCAACCTGAGTCACCCCGACGTCGGCCTGACCTCTCCCTGCCTGCAGCCCCTGGGGGAGGGCTGGCAGCGGATGTCCTGGCCACGGACAGCAGACAGCCTCGGCCACCCCGGGACACAGCAGCTCAGCAGACGCTGCCCCGGCCCAGATCGGTCACTGCCTCGGGCTGCTGTTCGCCTCGGGAAGTGGGGACGGTGCCAGCCCAGCGTGACTGCCAGGGTGGGCTGTCCTTCTCCTTCCAGCCCCGGACCTGCCTTCATCCTGGCAGAGGGCTCGGGATGGCGCTCATGCCTGGGATGGGGACCGAGGCCAAATGAGGCCATCAGCGCTCTGTCCGTGGCTGCGGACGCTCAGCTCCAGTTTCTTGCTGTCCCTGGAGTCCAGGGTGACCTTTGCGTGCTTTCTCGCTTGTCCACAGGGTCCGGCCACCACTGTCGCCTTCTCCAGGACGGGGGAGTACTTTGCTTCGGGCGGCTCCGACGAGCAGGTGTGTAAGGAGGGCCTGGATCTCCCCGGTACTGACCGAGGAGTGCTGACCGATGGGCCGGCTGTGGGGGTGCTGACCGATGGGCCGGCTGGGGGGGTGCTGACCGATGGGCCGGCTGGGGGGGTGCTGACCGATGGGCCGGCTGAGGGGGTGCTGACCAATGGACCGGCTGAGGGGGTGCTGACCGATGGACCGGCTGAGGGGTGCTGACCGACGATCTTGGCTGGGGGGCTCAGGGAGGCGGGGCCTGCATTCCTCGTGGCTTTCAGTGGCCACAGAGGCAGGAGCTGGGCAGGTGCTCGGACCCCGGGCCCTGGCCTCCCCAGAGCAGGTGCCAACCCCCAGGGCAGGGTCTCGGAACATTCACCGCTCACGCCAGCCTGGGACCTGGCTGCTGCCAGGGAGGAGCTAGACCAAAGCTCTAACCACTTCTTCCTCCTGAGCGTGTGTGAATGAGGTGACTGGAGGGCCCTTACTGCGAGCCGAGGTGCAGGCCGTGGGCGGAGCTCTGCCTCACGTGGTCCACACGACACTGTGGGCAGCCCTCTCGTCCCCCGCCCTGTGGTGAGGAAACAGTTTCAGCAGAACCGGGGTGCCCCGGAGCCCCCACATCTTCCTGGTGCCAATGCTGTGCCGAGCTGTGAGCCTCCCTGCAGCCCTGTGAGGGGGGAACTAGGACTGTGCCCCTTTCACAGATGAGGAAACTGAGGCACAGAGAGGTTGAGTCTCTTGCCTAGAGGTGGGTGGAACTGGGATCCTCACTCCTGTGGTCTGGGATGGAGCCCACACGTCCACCACTTCTCATGGCCGCAGGCAAGGCCACCGCTCTTGGAACCCCTGTTTTAGTGGGGAGACGTGACAGGTGAGGAAAAAGGACAGATGAGGCAGTGCCCCGTGCTCTGGAGGAAGTCGGGGCCTGGTGACAATTAGGCCAGAGGGCCTCTGAGCAGGAGGCGGTGCAGCGGCCGGCACAGCCCAGGCAGGGGCCAGCACCTGCCGGCCAGTGGTGGAGGGGGCAGGTCTCGGCGTTGAGCTGGGGTGTCTGTCAGGTGGGGCCACTGTTCTGCCTCGGGCCCAGGGCTGTGGGGGTGCTGTGGGCCCATCTTCTCCATGAAGGAGTGGTGAGGACGTCTCCCCTAATTCTGTCTGCTTGTCTCGCAGGTGATGGTCTGGAAGAGCAACTTCGATGTGGATGACGGAGACGCTGCCAAAGGGCAGAGGCCTCGGGCCGCGCTGGCCAGCTCCTCCCGGAACCTGGTAAGTGGCTGCTGGCGGGTGTGAGCCCGGCCGCCCGGTCCCAGTGAAGGGCATTGGGCTCGGAGACGGCGGGACTAGTAAGACCTTGTCACTTAGTGAATACTCTTCAGCCCTCGTGGTGAGGGCCGCAGGGCAGGCGGGCCGCTGGGGCCTGGGCCGGGTGGCCCACTGGGCAGGGTGTTGCCACGGCACCTACTCCTGCGGGGTGAGGCCCGAGGCACCAGGGGCCTGTCGGGCCAGGCCCCGTTCCTGGAGGGTGCAGGCTGCAGCCTCAGCTGGCTGTGGTTCTCACTTCCCTTTGTTAAACCGCAGAAAGGAAGTGCCTCAGCCTCCAGCCACCTCAGTGCCGCGGTGGTGAGAGGGATTCGTGTTCCAGTTCAAACAGTCAGTGACGATTGGGGGAATGGGTAACTGAACAAGGGTGCACTCAGCTTTGCTGACGCCCACACTGAAGCCGAGGCTGCGAGCCGGAGGGTCTCAGGCCCAGGGGCCGCAGGCCGGGAGCTCCCTCCGGCCCCGGAGGCAGCGTGGCCTCGCCCAGCCCGGAAGCTGGCTGACAACAGGAAGTGGCTTGTCCAAGGCCCCAGCGAGCCCAGGCTGCCCAGAATAGAACCAGGAAGCCGGGGCCATCCAACCTTTGGCTACAGGGACCCCCTCTTCCCCACGCTCCTGCCCTCCCCATCCAGCCTTCTCTCGGGAAGGCTGGCAGCACCAGGGGGAGGACCCGCACCCTCTTGGAGTTGTCAGGAGAGGGACATGGACAGGTGGCCTCTCGTCCTTCCGTCCTGGCTCAGGGATGGGGTGGGCACCCTTGCTTCCCAGAACTGTCGCTTCGGGTCACCTGGGAAGAGGCCTGTGGGCGGGAGCCAGCAGGACAGGGCAGGGTGGGCATCTCCATGGGGGCTCAAATGGAGGGAAGCATGTGGGCTCTGGGGTCTGACCCCACACCCGGCTCCGAATAGCACTCCAGGGCCTTGGCCCTGAAGCCAGAGTCACGCCCGGGCATTGAGGACTAGGAAGCCCATCGGGCCAGGGGCTGGGTCTTCAATTCCTGGGGGCAGACAGGGCGGGCAGCCCCATGAGCCCGAGACAGCCCCCTGCCCGGACCCCTGCCCGGGACCGGCTCTGAGGTGGTCAGCTCCTGCTGGAACAAAGGCCGCCCCAAGCCGCTGGGAACAGGCCTGTTCGCTGCGCAGCTGTTTCCAGCCTCGGGGGGACACAGCTTATTCTTAGGCGCTTTCCACGTGAAAAGCAAAGCCATTCCCAGCCTTCAGAGCGTGAACAACGGGACCCCTTCTCTCTCCTCTGGGCCGAGTTGTGGTGAGGGCTTTGCTGTGGTTGGGGAGCTGTCGGCCCGGGGGCTGCAGGGGAAGGGCTGAGGGTGGGCAGGAAGCTGGAGGCCGGAGCGAGGTGGGAGGGTTCGAGCGGGAGGCCTCCCGGAGGGTGTGAGCCCGCGAGCATCTGCAGCCGGGCCTGCCCCTGAGGCTGAGGACCACGGTGTCCTGGCTGACCTTGGACTTGGCACCTGCCCCTCGAGTCCCAGCTGCCACCGGCCTGACGCTGCCTCAGCCACGGAAGCGTTTTAAAGTCACTCCGAGGAGCAAAGACTCATCTGCTCTGATGTGTTCTCGCCTCCCTCCACACTTCTCCGAGCTGTTATGCAATCGGGAAGGAAGGCTGTGGGAGGGGGAGTGGAGAATTCTGGGTAACTCGGTAAAACCGAACACCCACTTAGTTCTTGGGGCTGGCTGTCCTCACCCTCTAGGGCCCAGGCCCTTTCTCCTCACCACACGGAGCCGGGCCTCCCTGCTGACGTCCCACCCAGTGGCACTGCCAGTGCCATTGGCCCCGGGCCTGGCACCTGGCGAGTGCTCAGCAAGCGCTAGCTATTTTTACAATGTTCCTTTTCCTTCCTGTCCCACTGAGAGCTGGATGACCCCTGCCCCCCGTCAGGGCGATTGTGTGCTCACACCCAAGGGGAGGCCCACAGGCCTCTGCCTCCCGCCCAGGGCCAGCCCTCGAGGGGGTGGTAACCCCGGACGTCTCCGGGCTGGGGCTCGGGACCTGTGCTCAGGCGGAGCCTCAGGGCAGGTGCCAAGGCTCAGGCGTCCCAGGGGCCCGCATTGAGGCGGGGGGAGCACAGATCGCTTCCTCAGGGAGCGTGGCAGACGTGGGCCCCTTGTGACAAGGGAGGCTCCTGGCTGGCGCTTGCTTTCCAGGGAGAGAAGTGGGTTTGAGGGAGCGCCTGGCAGGTGAGGGCGGTGGGTGTTGGGAGCGGGAATGAACCCCGATTCACACGTCTTGGAGGGGAGCCCTCCTTCCTCCCAATTCCTGGTCCCTGGGCTTCGCAGGCGGCTCAGGGCTCTTGGCAGCGGGTGCGTCGGAGGAAGCCACATGCGAGGGCTTTGGGGAGAGTGTTGGTGTCAGGGCCCAGGGCCCAGCTCCGCACATCGCCTGCCTGTGTCTCGGCAGTCTGCTCGCGGGGCAGCCCCTCTGGAGGCAGTTCCTCAGAAGCCTCCCTCTGTCGGCCGGGGCCCAGCACGTGTCTGGAGCAGGATGCTCAGCATGTCAGTTCAGGGACGTGCCCGTGGGCAGCGTGAGGCTAGAGGCGGCTTTGCCAAATGTCCTTTGGCATTTTGAAGATCCCTGGCTAAATGGAGGACTGTCTTGCCTGGTTTTGGGGGGGTGGCATGGCGTGGGGTGGTCTGAGCAGCGACCGGGATCTGCGTTTCTGGACGAGAAGTTTCCGTCCTGTTCGTTGTCAGTGGGGATAAGCCTTTGCAGCGTCTGTCTTCCAGATTGGATGGCAGCCTGGCCCATGTGGTGCAGGGTGTTGGTAATTCTCGTGTTTATGTTCTCATTGGTTACCATGGGGAAGTCAGAATAGACAGTTTCCATGGAGATTTTTCTTTGAGTGTCTGTGAAGGTGCAGACATGGCTGCGGGCTCACTGGACACCAGGTGCCCTCGGGCTTTCTCTGCTGCAGGGCCGGGGCCGCTCTGAACTCATGTGGATGCGGCAGGTCTGCCTCCTGTGCCTCAGCGTCCTCTCGGGGTCCCACTGTGGCCTCAGCTCTGCACCATTCGGGAGCCTTCTTTGTTATTATTAAAACAATAAGGATAGGTTTCTGAGCTAGCACAGGGGAGAGCAGCGTTCGGAGCCCGGCTCTGGCTGCAGCGCTCCACGCGTCCCGTCCCTCAGGGGAGCCGGAGGGTGTGCATTGGCCCAGATGTATCCTTTCCCCGAGCAAAGGCATTCCTCGTTGTATAGCGGCCGTGCTCTGTCACCGCCAACAAAATTACCAGTTCCTGAGGACCAGTGCCTGGTCCGTGGTCACATCTCCCACATGTGTGTGTCTGATAGGACGGCGGAGACCGAGAAACACCCTCCACACACACACACACACACACACACACACACAGGTCCTGCTGGTCAGAGGTGCGCTGTGGCGGCTGGGGAGCTTCAGGGCCCCCTCTGTCCTCTGGGACAGTGTGACTGAGCCCAGGAGCCCTTGTTCTAGCGAAGGTGTGCCCGCTGGTGGCCAGCTCCTGCCAGATGCCTGGCCGGAGGGGGGGGCAGCATCCGCTGGGCGCTGTTCCTCTTCGCTGCCTGCAGGGGGATGGAGAGGTGATGTAACCTGAGTTCACCCAGCCCCATGCTGCTGCATTTTCTAGGACAGGGCGCTGTGAGACCCGGGGATGCCCTCGGGCAGCGGGGAGAGGGGGCGCTAGGCTCTGCTCCTCTGCAGCCCGCAGCCCACACTTCTGCAGGGGAGGCAGGCCAGCGGGTTATCTGTCTTGGCAGGCTTTGTCGTCCTGAGATGCTGCATGAAATAGGAATTGCCAGGCCTGGGAGCAATGCCCGGCGCGGCCGGTGCCTCTCATCTCTCCATTGAGCTAAGTGCAGGAGAGTTTAAAATAGCCAGCCTTTGTTCCGGCTCTCAGAGACTCACGCAGCAGTGCCCTGAGCCGTCTGCAGCGGGATATAAATACACGCCGCTGTTCGGCGGCTGCCAGAGGTCCCTCTGCCGCTCCTCTTCGCAAGACGCGCCTCTGCGGGGCCGCGCACGTTCCCGCCCAGAGCCAAAGCCCCCGAGATGAACCACACGGGCGTGCCACCTGGCGTGGGGACATCCGCAGAGGTCATCGCCACACAGACCGGTCCTGTTCGCAGGAGCCGCCTCGGTGGTGTTCCTGTCAACCACACATGACCTCACCCCGCTTGTGAGGACACCAGACCCGAACGAAGGGACATCAGGCCATAGAGCGGGTCAGGACTCTCGCACAGCGCCAAGGCCACGGAGGACGAGGTCACGGAGGAAGTGACAGGTTGCAGCAGGCGACGGCGAGGCCACTGACACAGCCTGAGGGCCTGGTGGCTTCTGGGCCAGTGGCTCCAAGGACGTTGGCAGGAAAGCTGGGGCGTCCAGTGGGACCCTCGGTTTGACTGATGCCATTGACCCAGTTGATTTCCTGGGGTGACCTATATCCTGATGGCTATGTAAGATGTTAATCCGGGGAGACCTGCCCGGCCGGCGAGGCTCTGGCTGAGCGTCAGCCTATCAACCAGGAGGTCACGTTCGATTCCTGGTCAGGACACATGCCCAGTGGGTTCTGTGCAGGAGGCAGCCAATGGGTGATTCTCTCTCATCATTGATTCCTCTCTCCTCCCTCTCTGAAATCGATAAAAATATATTTAAAAAAATACTGGGGGGACCTGGGAGGAGAATAGATGACAATTCTTTACCACTTTTGCAACTTTTTTCTAAGCCTAACATTAGTTTAAAGCGGTCTAATTTTTTTTAAAAAAACCCTGCATCAACACGTGGGCTTGGTCAGAAGCCTGAGCTCCTGTGTGGTGGCCCAGGCTCCGTGTGGGAGCGAGGTGCTCAGCGCCAGCGGAGAGCCCTCGGGCGTGTGCGTGCGTGTGCGTGCGTGTGTGTGTGTGTGTGTGTGTGTGTGTGTGTAAAATGGCACTGGGAAGGGCCGCCCTCACCGGGCAGAGGGTGGTCACGGGAAGCACTGCCATCTGCACTCACAGCCAGCAGGCGGGCTCCGGGGGTTGTGGGCAAGTTGAAGGTTTTTTTTGTTTTGTTTTTTGAAAAGTTAAAGGTTTTAAGGACCAGAATTCCTCTTGAGTTCAGGGCTATGTTTAGAACCAGAAGTTTCTCTTGTTGGACTCCAGGCCGGAACCCTAATTACAGGGCAGACAAGGCTGTCCTGCATCCAGCCCATGGCCGCGTGGGGATCCAGCAGTGTGTGAGCGCGGACTGAGAAGAGGGTGCTGTTTTCCACGGAAGGTGGCGGCGAGGGCGCGCCCAGCGAGTGCCCTGCGCCTGCTGCTCGCCAGTGCCCAGGAGCGAGCAGGGAGGCGGCCAGGCAGGCGCCCTTATCTTCCATGAGGGCGATGGCCAGGCCAGGGGCTGGGGTGCCGATGGGAACAGCTGGCCTCCAGCCTCTGCACCCACACTTGGACTGAGGTCGAAAGACTCGGTTGAACAGTTCTCCTCCTGTGTGTTTGTGTGTGTGTGTGCGTGTGCGCTCGCGCGCGCACGTCCGTCTTCTGCTCCGCTTTGGGAAGGGTGAGTGCTTTGGTGTTCTGCGCGGGCAGTGGCCAGCTCTCCCTGCCTGTCGCCGAAGGAGGTGGCACCAGTGAGAGCCCAGATCTCGGGCCTGGGCCCCTCCCTGTCCTGCCCATGTTCCAGCTCAGGCCGCGGACCCGTGCCTGCTGCAGGGCAGGGCCCGGGGTGAGGGTTTAAGAGAAGAGCCTGGGGCAGGTGTTAGTTACCGCCCACCCACCAGCGGGGTGCTGTCGGGTCAGCTCCTGGCCTCCCCATGGGAACTCCAGTCGCTCCTGGCTGCTGGCCAGGTGTGTGCCCCCCTCGTGGCTGCGGCCTGATGTCCACAGACTGGACAGCCGCTGCTGGGACGCGCTGCCCGGACACCGGCTCCCCTGACGACTGGGAACCAAAGCTCTAAGGTGTGGTGCTGACTCTGCCTGGGGAGCTGAACCCCAGCCCGGGTGGACCTCATGGGCCGCCCTCGGGTCTGCAGCTGGGCCTTCCCACTGTGCTGGCGCTGAGAGCGATTGGCACGCGGGGTGCACAGCGGCGGCAGCTGGTGTCGTGGCCGGCAGGTCGTTGTCACTGCGGTTTTAAAAGCCAGTCGTGATAATATGTGAAGAGTAACATCCACGTGTGCAAAAGTGGCCACACAGGCATGTAGGCACCACACGTCGGCGTAGAGTGACCGTCCCAAAGTTCCCTCGTGCCTCCTGCAGCCACCCCGCCCCCTCCAGCCGCGGCAGCACCAGCTGTCACAGGCCGCACGTCGCCAGCCGCACACACAGGGACCGCGGTTCCACGTCCTCGCAGTCCGCTTCCTTCCGCTCAGTCCGGTTCCTCGCAGACTCGCCTGTGTTGTTACAGTACCAGCTCCACAGGTGTGTGCGTGTGTGCTTTTAGTCGTGACAGACGCCACCAGGCAAGGCGGCTCCTGCCCTTTGACATTCAGCAAGGCGCCGGTGCAGTTCCCGATAGGTGTCTCCCCACGCTGCCGCCATCTTAGCTCTGCTTGGTCGCTTGCTTGCTGAGCTCTTGGGGAAATGCCACCTTTCGGTGCTGAAGTGCCGATGCAGGGTTCGGTGCTGGAGTGCCGGTGTGGGGTCATGGGGTCATGGCCAGGCGGGGCTGCAGGCCCTTTGCCTGGGAGGGGTCATTGCACAGGAATGCCTCAGGGGGTGCTTGGCTGTCTGAAGTGTGTTTGCGGGGGGGCCTGGCTGTGCTCAGCCCTGTGCCCGGAAGGCATTGGGGGGCGGTGACCCAGAGTGTCAGACCCAGGGCAGCTGGGCCCATGGAAGCACGTCCCTCCCACAGGGGCGAATCCAAGAGGGATTGCAGGTTCCAAGACCAAACGGGTACCGACCGCTGTGTCCGCGGGGCGGTGGCTGGGGGCCACATGGGGACCGGCCTCAGTCTCCGGAAGCCACTTGCCGCAGTGGTGCTGGGGCTGAGGGAGGTGTCTTCTACATTCGGGGTCGGAAGGATCTTGGGCAGAAACCCAGCCCTGTCAGGGGCAGCCCAGGGCCTCTGCTCCCCCCAGGCTGTTCGAAGGGGCTCCCTCCTGTGGCCGTTCCTTCTGAACGAGCGGACTCGCTTCCTCCACTTGCCGTGGTGTCCCAGCCCTCTGCAGGGCGATCCTCGCTCAGTGTCCCTCCACACTCGGCCGGGACTGAGGCCCTCCTGTCCTCCTCAGCCAGACGTGGACTTCCGCCTGCCGGGCAGAGCCAGGAGCCAGGAGTCGGCGCAGAGCGTGCCGCCGCCGAGGGAGCCCGCCAGCTCGCCGCAGGCGCTGACCAGCACGCTGGAGCACATCGTGGGCCAGCTGGACGTCCTCACCCAGGTAGCCACGCCGCGGGGCCACATCGGCCTGGTCCGGCTGGCCCTCCCCTGTCCTCGGAGCCCCCGTGTGTGTGAGGGGCGTGGGCGTGGCTCGGCCTCCGTGTCCGTGGTGAGCTTTGAAGGAGGGCAGCCTGTGGGAGGTGCTGGCCTGTGCCTGGCTGGGGCTATGGCACTGACCACCCTCATCGCAGGACAGACGTGGGCCCACCCGTGAGCGTGCGTGGGTCCGCAGCTCCTCAGCCTGCAGGGCAGTAGCTTCGGTAAAGGACCCCCCCCACCCCCGCCAGCAGTGCGGGGGGCAGCGGGCATCTCATCCTGGGGAGCAGCGTCCTGGCCGAGCGAGCAGCTCGCCTGCAGCCTGGGGCCCTGAGCATGTCCAGGCCCCGAGCCAAGCCCACGTGGCCGGTGTGGGGAGCAAGGGTGGGGCGGACAGGCAAGCTTTAAAGGTCCTCAGCCCCTCCCCTTGGCTTCGGGTGCAGAGCCCCCTCTCGTTCAGCTCCAGTGGAGTGAGGGTGTGGGTGGGACGCAGAGGACCCTGGCTTCTGTGACAAACACGGCCACAGCCTCCCTGCCCTGGCCTGGAGCGAGGGAGGGAGCCCCTGCTCCCCTGGACCCACGGAGGGAAAGGCAGGAGGGAGAGGCTGACATCAGTGACGGACGGGTGGGCAGGCCTGCGGCTCATCGTCAGACATCTGTGCGCCTGAGAAGGCCCGTGCGGGAGGGGAGCAGGCCTGAGACTCGGGCATCGGAGGGGAGGGGAGGGGAGAGGAGGGGAGGGGAGCAGGCCTGAGACTCGGGCATAGGAGGGGAGGGGAGGGGAGGGGAGGGGAGCAGGCCTGAGACTCGGGCATAGGAGGGGAGGGGAGGGGAGGGGAGGGGAGGGGAGCAGGCCTGAGACTCGGGCATAGGAGGGGAGGGGAGGGGAGCAGGCCTGAGACTCAGGCATCGGAGGGGAGGGGAGGGGCCGGGCCGGGAGGTGGACTCCATGAGGACTTTGGAGGATAGACCTCAGACTTGGAAGTCTGAGAAGACGGTTAAAAATAGCTCCCTTGGAGCCAGAGGAGTAAAACGCTAAGAATGCTTCCTGTGGCTGTGTTTGGGGTGCGCGTGGAAGGTCGTTCCTGTTGGCATTGGGAAGGGTGGTCACTGAGGAGCCCGCTGGGGCGTTGGCGAGGATGGCCCCTTAGCTTCGAGACACCGTGACCCTGCCCCGGGGTCCTGGCCGGTCTCTGTTGGATGGGCTGCTCAGGCGAGCGCGCTGGTGGGAAGGCCCCAGGGCTCGGGCACTCGGCACTCAGCGTGCACCTATCCTGCAGGAGCTGGGCTGGGAGAGGCGGCCAGTGACGGCGGAGCAAGGAAGCCCGTCCCCTTGCTGCTGCCATCAGGCTGCTCAGGAAGCTGCCCGCGCACGCTGGCCTTTGCCCCGGGCTGAGACCGTGGTCTGGGCGGCTGGGCTGAGAGGCAGCCCGCCCTCCCGTGCGCGCACACGCACAGACACGCACAGACACGCACAGACACACACAGACACGCAGTGAGCGGGAGCGGGAGCCGCAGGAGCGGGCGGCGCTGGCCAGCAGCCTTTGTTTTGGTGGCTCACTGGACCCCCGGCAGAGAGCCCCTTTGATTGCATCTGTTTTCGATCTTTGGAATCCCCGTGAAGTAAACCGTGCTGAGGGAGATTAGTTCCACATTTCCCCTTTGTGCGCTGAAACAAGGGGAGCTTGGCCTTCTGGGAGGCACAGTCAGCCGGGTGCTGAGCCAGTGGCCGGCCCTGCTGCCTCTCTGGCCTGGCACCAGTGCCGGTGACTGTGCCCTCTCCTTGAGACCCAGGACACGGGCACCCTCTGTCCCCAGTAATCTGGCTCCTGCGTTGGGGGCTCGGAGGAGCACAATCACCCGCAGCCTGGGAATGATTAAAGGGAACTTTCCGTCACAGAAGCAGCCAGACCACCGCGTGCCCCGAGGATCCGGGGCCGACCACAGGCTGGCGTGTTCCGGCCTCATCACGCCCCATCGGGGCCCAGAGCTCCCAGGGGCCCAGCTCAGCCATGGCCCTCGTGAGGGTACGAGGTCCGGAGCCATGTGCAGCCACACGCGGCCCTGGCGCCTTCCAGGCAGTCTCAGTCCCCTCACTGTGCCCCAGCCCCGCAGGCGCTTGAGGGGGCAGTGGGCGGAGGGTGGCCCTGGGCCTCCATCGGCATCTGGGCCAGCGCCCTGTCCACCTGTGTCCACGTCCAAGGAGGCCAGGCGGGAACTTTGTCCGCAGAACCGGTGCAACCTAAGGGCCCTGCTTGGAGCGGGATGTGGGCGCGGAGAAGTCCCAAGATGGCGGGCCTAGGGGTCAGTGGGAGCCGAGAGCCAGGCTGTGCCCGCAGAAGCATTTGTAAGACCGTGGCCAGAGGTCTGAGAGACGGGACAGAGGGGCTGGCTGACCGTCATTCCTTCCTCCTTCCTCCAAACGTCCGTCTGGGGGAGAGCTCTGCCCTCAGCCAGCCCAGAAGGACCGGTCCTGTGGCCTCGCCAGCCTGGGGGCCTGGGAGCCAGTCTTGTCTGCTGCACGTGGCAGCACCTGAGGCGTGTGGGAGTGGGTGACGTCAGGGGGCCGGTGGGTGGCCCTGGCCCCTCCGGCTTTTGTGGAAGTGACGGCTCCAGTTTTCCCACGACATCAGCTCGTGGGCCACGCAGGAGGTGGGGGCCGTGGCCGTGGGAGGAGGAGCAGCTGCTGGAAGGACCTGGCTTGGAGGGAGGGCGCGCCCTTGGTCAGCGTGGAGGGGCCTGTTCCTCCCCCGGCTCCCGGCTGATAGTGGGGCCGGGCAGGCCCAGGCCCAGCTCCTTCCCCAGAGCTCACTCCGGCCTGCAGGACACCCTCCCGGCTCCGCCTGCTCTGACATAGAGGCATCCCCTTTCCTGTCCCTTTTTGGCTAGAGCCCTAGAGCTGCCTTCCCCCTTCCTGTGGCCACCGCATTCTCTTCCCTCTTCACCCATCCCGTCTCCTGGCATTTGTAAGGCTGTCATGTTCTGCTCTGCCCCAGGGCCTTTGCACCTGCTGTATTTTATTTGCAATGCATTTCCCTCAACTCATCTTGGAGTGTGTCTTTTTTTTTTTTTTTTTTTTTTTTTTTAATCATTTGATTTTTATTTTAAAAGCTTGGTATCTCAAACTTAATGAGATCTTGTGACCACTGGCCTCCAAGCCCCGTCATGGCCGAAGCTCTCCTTCCAGGGCTGCCAGCCAGGCGTCAGCCCGGAGCAGGAGGTCCTGCAGGGGCCCAGGCTCTCCTCGGAGCTCAGTCCCCCTGGGCCAGACTGACACCCTGCACCCAAACAGCCACACGTGCGAAGGGGGTGAGAAAGAGGCCTGAAAGGAAGTGGAAGTGAGAACTGAGAACGAGCTGCCAGAGTGAGGACAGACCTGCCTCCAGAGGAACAGGCCCAGCCCAGGGAGAGCGCCCAGCTCAGCTGGACAGGGTCAGGGTTAGGGCGGCATGAAGGGCCTGGGCCGCTCCCTCTTCCTACCGGGTCCTCCTCGGGACACACCTGACTGCCTCCGCAGGACAAGCTCCGCCTGCATTCCCGGAGCCCAGGGAGAATCCTGGCCATGGCCACGCCCCCGACCCCCTCACAGCTCAGCCCTGCACCCACGCCGGGAGTGGAGGCTCACCCTCGGCCACTTGGGGGCCAGCACACCCAGGCCCTGGCCCTCACGGGGCGTCCGAATTGGCCGATGTGGGCCATTGGTGGGTGTGGGGGACTGTGGGAGCGGGGCCCCCAGGACCCTGAGCCTGTCCTGGGCAGATTCTGGAAACCCCGTGCCCAGAGAGAAGAGCGAGAGGCTCCGAGCGGGTCTGCCGGACCTGCAGGCCTTGTGCTCCCCGCTCGGGGCCAGATGCTGGCGGCTGCCGAGGCCCGGCATGGGGCAGCGCCTTGGTCTCACCATGGCTCTTTGGGACTAAAAATAAACAATTATTTTTGTGCTGCACTCAGCCCTTCAGGTGTCAGAGGAGGCGTCCTACGCACCTTGAGCCGTGAGGGAGGCGCGCTGGCCCGGTAATGCTGCCCGAGGACAGGACCGGCTCCGCTGGGCGGGCGGGGGGTTGGCAGCCTCTCCCAGGAGGATTCCCCTGGGGGTCATGCTGGACACCCCTGGCTCGTGATCTCGGTTTGGGTCCCCTCGGCACCCCCCCCCCCCCCACGCTGTGGCCTGGCACCCTCTGCCTCCGCGTTTGGAAAGGGTCCCTGTGAACATTACGGGGAGGGCCGGGGGAGGAACGGCAGGCTGGCCTCCGCCGGGGCCCGGGGTCCCCCCGCCCAGGGTCTCCCCGCCGTGGCCCGGGGTCCCCCCGCCGGGGCCCGGGGTCCCCCCGCCGGGGCCCGGAGTCCGGGCTGCAGAAAAGCTGGATGCAGAGTGAGTTTGAAGCTTGGCTCACTGAGTGTCTCAGCAGCCAGTGGAAACTTAAGGAATGCTGGTTGGTCTGGACCAGCCAGGGGCTGTTTCCACCACCTTTTCCGAGATGCAGACCCTCCCGCGCCGGAGGAGTGACATCCCAGTCCAGCTCTGCCTCTCGGGCTGGGTCTGCTCAGCCCACGGCAGCACTTCTCGGGCCCCTGGGAGGGGGTGCGGGCCCCTGCAGGGGGAGGGGGTGCGGGCCCCTGCGGGGGGGAGGGGGTGCGGGCCCCTGCGGGGGGGAGGGGGTGCGGGCCCCTGCGGGGGAGGGTGCGGGCCCCTGCGGGGGGGAGGGGGTGCGAGCCCCTGCGGGGGGGGGTGCGGGCCCGTGTGGGGGGTGAGGGTGCGGGCCCCTGCGGGGGGGAGGGGGTGCGGGCCCCTGCGGGGGGGGAGGGGGTGCGGGCCCCTGGGGGGGGAGGGGGTGCGGGCCCCTGCGGGGGAGGGGGTGCGGGCCCCTGCGGGGGGGAGGGGGTGCGGGCCCCTGCGGGGGGGGGGGGGGGCGGGCCCCTGCGGGGGGGGGGGGGCGGGCCCCTGCGGGGGGGGGTGCGGGCCCCTGCGGGGGGGAGGGGGTGCGGGCCCCTGCAGGGGTGGAGTATGGGCGCTGGAGGGTTGACAGCAGCCGGAGCGGGACGCGCCCTCCCAGAGGCCTCGTACTTCGAAGCGTTACGCGAAGGTACTGGACGGAGGCCAGTGCCTCCCGGAGCCTCGGGGAAGGTGGCGAAACCTCTGGGGAAAGCCTCAGCCAAACAGGGAACATTCATAGAAGGTTGTTATTATCTGACCCGTTTCGATGCTGCCCACAGCAGACAGGCCGGCACGCTCAGGCGCCCCTAGTGGGGGCGCAGATGTCAGGGCCGGCCTGGGTCGGCTGAGCAGTGCTGGGGTGCGGTGTCAGGTGGGCCAGCCCCTCCGGGGAGCGCACCAGCGCCCAGACCCACTGTCCGGAGCCAGAGCGGGCCCATGAGTCTTATTTTTTAATTTCTAGAGAGAGAGGAAGGGAAAGATACATACAAACATGCATCGGTTGCCTCCTGCACGCCCTCCCCCCCCCCCCCTCGGGGATGGAGCCTGCAACCTGGGCGTGTGCCCTGACCGGGAGTTGAGTGGGTGATCTCCCGGTTCGTGGGTTGATGCTCAACCACTGAGCCACGCCAGCCAGGCCACATCTGCTGATTGGCCCACGAAGGACGTGCAGCCCAGCAGCTGCGGGCGGTGGAGGCCAGCCATCGTGCTGGGAGCACGGGCGCAGCCTCGGAAGCCGCCGTGGTGACAGGCGTTGTGGGCCGCGTGCTGTCCCCTCAGGCTCCAGGGCTGCCGTGAGCTCAGCCACCCTCCGTCGCCGAGGAGATAGGGCTCGGACATGAGAGTTGGTCTTCCCCAGGGGCCCGGCCTCAGTGGTCCCAGCCGGGGGTGTGGGGCCTTCGTTTGCGGGCGCCGTGCCCTCACCTTTGGATGAAGGTGGTTGCTGGTGTCCGGTGGTTCATGAGGAGGTGGCTCTGCCCCAGACTCCAGCCTAAACGCCAGGCCACCAGGACCAGGGATTCCTGACCTGGGTTGTCTGGTGGGGCTGTGGGACCTGCCCCCTCCTCCCTCGCGGGGTCTTGCCTGGCCCAGGACATCAGAGCACAGCATCCGGAGCCGGGAGGTGGGTGGGAGGGCAGGAGCTGTCCGAGCAGCCGCCTGAGATGCAGCCAGCCCCTGCGAGGGAAGAGCTGGCAGTTGGCCTTGGGCAGCGGCAGAGCTGGCTGCAGGTCCAGGGCAGCCCACCCTCTGAGCCTACCTGTTTGTTGCAGACGGTGTGCATCCTGGAGCAGCGGCTGACGCTGACAGAGGACAAGCTGAAGCAGTGTCTGGAGAACCAGCGGCTAATCATGCAGAGAGTGACACCGTGATCGGGGGTGCAATCAGGAGCTCGTTGATTCGGGGTGGCGGGCGGGTTTGTACTGTGGGACTCGGGTAAATAAACGGGGTTCAACTCGGCACGAATCAGGTCCGTCCCAAGCCCAGGGGTGTTGCCTCTGCCCGCCCTGGCGGCCCCGCCTAGCCATGACGCCCATCGGCGGCGCAGTGCACAGGCCTGAGGGACCGTGTCCGGCCCAGCGCAGGAGCCCCTGGGAGATGTTTGCTGCGTCGGAGCTGAGTCCTGAGGCCCCAAGCCACCTGCTCCCTCGCCTTCGGGCCATGTCCTCTGCCCCGGGCCGCTGTCCGCCTCAGCCTGGGCGGGACTCCTGGCGGGTGAGCCTGGATCTGACTCCGACCGATGCCCGTGCGGCCCTGGCTCAGTGGGTCCAGGAACAAGCACGCCAGCCTGTGGTGGCTTTGGTTTCTCCCTCTGTTCACAGGGCAAACAAATCTGAACATTAAACAGACTTCACAAGGTGGTCGTAGAAATGGCTCATTCTGAGGACGGCCTCCTCAGCCCGGCCCCGGGGCCCATTCGGCAAAAATGGCACCTGCTGGGTCCCCATGCCATCTCCTACCACTGGTCACTCCCCTCATGTCCCTCCGGCCACGCCAGGCCAATTCCAACCCCAGGGCCTCTGCTCCTGCCATTCGCACTGCCGGGAATGCTCTGACCAGTTCCTGCCTCGCCTTCCCGCGCCATCACACGGTGCGGGGAGATTTGCTTAGTTGGCACAAAGTTCTACGCTCAGGCTTCGTCCCTGCTGGCTCCAACACGGCCTGGGAGGGGCTGAGGTGGAGCTGAAGGCGGGGCCCAGCATCAGTCCTGTCAGCTGCAAGGCCACTCCAGGCTCAGAGAGGTCATGAGGCCAGAAAGCTGGGCTCCTGCGAGGGGGGCGCGTTGTACCCCACAAGGCCCTCAGGCTTCACTCCCTAACCGCCACTGAGCACCCACCCCACACCCCAGCCCAGCGCCCACAGCCTTTCCCTGGGGGGGCTTTAAGTGCCAGGCCAATCTGGGTGCCCACGTGCAGCCCCCCTGGACAGGGAGGATGGGGCCACCAACCCGAAAGCCAGACCTCCTGCCCACCAGCTGGTGGGGTGGCAGGCAGTGGCCTTCCTTGTAAATCCTGAGGGCTGGTAAGGGGAGTTTGGGGGGAGTCAGCCCTGGATGTGAATGAGCCAGTGTGGCTGCTGGCTGGCTGTGCAGGGCCCTCCTCATGCCACGCCCCCACCTCCCCACCCCTACCCTCATCCCCGCCTTCTGTAATCCTGCCCCTAATGGCCCAGAACCCAGCCAAGCGGGGCCAGGGATGGGGGGCTCCTCTGCCTAAAGGAGAGGCCTGGGCCTTCTAAGGGGTCTCCCCACACCAGGCGGCCACGGGGGCCTTCTGCAGGGACCTGGGGGTGAGGGGGGCGGAGTTCTAGGGATAAAGTCTTCCGGGCTCTTGCCTCCTCTGCCCTTTCCCTCCGTCGTCCTCTTCCTCCTCCAAAGCACATGTTTCCAATCCCGGCCCAGGCCCCTCTCCCCCTCCCAGCCCCTTCCCACTTCCTCTCGAGGCATCCGCTGCATGTGGAACTCATTAGGAGAGTGGGGGCTCCCAGCCCAGCTCGGGCCGGCTGTGGGGAGGGGCCCTGCCACAGCCCCCAAGCGGAGAGGGGGGTGGGTACGTCCGGCTCCTCTCGCCCCTCTCCGGCCGATCCCCCTGGCAGCTGGACCCCTTCGGAGAGCAGGTCTCAGGCTGTGCAGCCAGAGAAAGCTGTGGGGTTCTGAGCGGCCTCCCATCGGAAAACAGGGGCGTCCAGAGAAGAAAAACGGGTGTGAACAGCTCCCGGGCAGCATAAGGCCCCCTTTTCCCGAAGAACACGTCGAGGGCGTGGGCCGTGGCTGTGCTGGGCGCAGAGGCTGTGGGGAAGCCGATGCTGTGGTCACCAGTTAGGGAGACGCCAGGTGGACAGCCTGCAGGACTTGTCGGAGCCTTTAACGCACTCCGGTGCCGTGCGGCCGGGGCCACACATCTGACCACGCGAGCCTTTTCATCAGGCGTACCTGGCGGGCAGGGGTTCCACGGATCCCACTCTGGACATCGCGCAGGAAGGGCCCTGCGGAGGCGGGAGGCCTGGGTCAGCCTGGAGGGGAGGGCCCTGAGGTCAGAGGGGGGGACCGGATGGGGTGACAGCGAAGGGAGGCAAGGCCGGGCTGGGGAGGCCACGGCGTGGAGGGAGAACCCTGAGCCACGCAGGGCCCGGGGCTGATGTCCCCTCGCCCCTTCCTCGGGAGAGGGCAGGCGTGGGCACGGGCAGAGGCCCGGGGCTGTGAGCAGAGCCTGGCCCCACGGGAGGGACCTGCACAGGCAGGCCCGGTGCTGGGAGTGTCCCTGCGCCACCCCCACCACGACAGCCACAGATGGGCAGCCGCTCGGTCCCGTCTCCGTGTCCCTCCCTGTGGGGCAGCCTCTCCTTGGAGCCCACTCTGCCCACACTCCCTGCCTGCCCTCAGGCCCTCTCTCCACTGTCCAGGCTCAGAGGGCTGGGCCAGGGCACCTGCTCCGCCCAGGGATGGGCCCCTCACCTGGTGTGTTTCCTCCTGCCTCACAAACGTCTTCTATTTTTATTGTTAACATATTTGTATTCGTTTCAGAGAGGAAGGGAGAGGGGGAGAGAGAAACGTCAACGATGAGAGAGCTACCTCCTGCACGCCCCACACTGGATGGAGCCCACCACCCGGGCATATGCCCTGACCAGGAATCGAACCGTGACCTCCTGGTTCAGAGGTCGAAGCTGGACATCACGCATGCTCCAGAGGAGGAAACGGGGGCAGTGGTTAAGTCAGTATTAGCACCAAGTCTCTAGGGCAAGCTCCCCCATCTCCACCTCCGCCCCCACATCTCACCCAGCCCTGTCCCGCACAGCCCTCACTCGGTCATCCCAGGGTCACTTGGGACTGTCCCGCCATGCCCAGAGCAGGCCTGGCAAGTGGCAGACCAGGCCAAGGCCACCTGTCCCCGCAGTGCAGAGGGTGGGCCCTGAGCCCAGTGCCTAAGCCAAGGAGCCCCTTCCCCGCAGGCCCATGCAGACCCTGCCGTGGCCTGCACCCCGGGAGTTAGATGGGCGGAAGTATTGCCCCCTCTGGGGATGGAGAGACAGGCTCCTCCAGGGGCCCCCAATTCCACAGCAGGCAGCTGTGTCCCCAGCTCTGGGGGATCCAGCCCGCTCCCCAGCCTGAGCTCCTGGGCTGGGCCTGGAGGGGGGGGGGGCGGGCTGAGGTTCCCAGGAAGATTTCTAGGGAGGACTCTACCTCTGGCCAAACTGCCCTCTCCTCTCCTAACCCCTACAGCCTGGGCTCTGTGCTGCCCTGAGGCTCAGGCCAAGGGCCACCCCATCTGGAGATGGGGGTAGGGAGGGCTGAGAAGGTGGGCAGGGCAGTGCTATCCAATGATGGGAGACGGCAAAGCCAGGACTGGGGCCTCAGGCATAGCTGGCCCCTGGTCCCTGGCCTGACCCCTCCTCACTCCCAAGAGGCCTTTGTCCTGGCAGGAAGGGGGTCTCCCAGGTTGTGGCGTCCCTGTGGCAAGAATAGGGCTGGGTGGGGCCAGGCTGGAAGGAGAGTCCCCAGACTTCCCTGGTGCTGGAGCTGCCCGCCTGGGAACGGAGAGCCACACGCCAGGCAGGTCCTGGGCCGCTGGCACTGACCGCGAAACCGGGAAACCGGGGCGGGCGGGCCCTGAGGCCTCACCCAGCGGCCTCACCCCGGAACCAGGCACCCGCTCCCAGGACGGTCCCAGCCTCATCAGGCCGCATGGTTACCCTGAGTGTCGCCATCGATGCTCCGCACCTCCCAGGCCCGTTCCTGAAAAACAGGGCTGTGTGGGCCATGGTGAGGAGCAGACAGGCCTGGGCAGCAGGCAGACGCTAATGAGGCAATTAGGCCTGGCAGCTACAGGCCTACCTGCACCCGCACCGCCCTCGGCCGCCCCGGCAGGCCCGGCCCAGGCCCTGGCACATCCGCCCGCCAGGTGCGGGGGACTCCCAGCCTCACCAGTTGGACGGGCTGGGCTGGGGGAGCCGCTGGCCCTCCCGATCCCAGGCTGGTCCGGCAAAGCCCCTTGCCATTTCCCTGGCTGCCACGCCCTCCAGCCTCCCCCACCCCCACCCCATCCCCGCTTCAGTGACCTGGGACCCAGGCCCTTTGGGCGGGGGGGGGGGGGGGGGGGGGGGGCTCAGGAGGATCAGAAGCTTGGAACAGCAGGCCTGGGGGACCTGGGGCCAGATGGGCAGGCAGCTGAGGACCCCTGCTCCCCAAAGCCCAGCCCTCCGTCCTCAGAGTCCGTGTGGGCTCCTGGGGTGCTGCCCAGGCGGCCTGCTGCAGGGAGGGGGATGTAAGATCACCGGGCCTTCACCTGGGGCCTGAGGGCGGGAAACTGGACCCAGCTGCCCGGCTCCGGGGCTTCTCTGACCCTCCACAGCCTCAGTGCCAGGAAGTGGGGCTCCCGGCAGAGTCAGAACCCCCTCCTGGCCCAGCCCCTCCTCCAGGGGGCAGCGTGCAGGACTGGAACCCAGGCCTGAGCGGGAGGAGAGCCCTCGCTGAGCCGGAGACTCTGGCTGCGGACTGAGGGCGGTGGAGGCCTGGTGGGGCCTCTGGCCACAGCGTCTGTCTCACTGCAGGTCCTGCAGGACAGGCTAAGGCCCTCGGGGAATGCAAGTGGGGGTTTCTGAGCCACCTGCCTGCGGGGAGAGCCAGGGGCACCTTAACTCTCAGCACCGGGTGCAGAGCAGGGCCCAGGAGGCCGGAGCCCTGGGGGCGGGGGGTGGGCAGGTTGAAAGGCCGTCAGGGGAACAGGCTGGAGAGGAGGGTCTGAGAGGAGGGGCCTCGGTGTGCAGAGGCCCTGAAGAGAGCGGGCAGGACAACGGAGGGGCTGGGCAGTGACCGGTCAGAGGAGGCCCGAGGTGGGGAGGGGGCAGGGCCAGACCAAGGGCCATGCCGGCCACCGGAGGGACTGTGCTGGGACCCACGTGAGGCTTGGGGCAGGGGAGGGCCGGGTCCCATTTGGCTTCTTCCTGGTCCCTCCGGCTGCTGTGAGTGCGCACTGTGAGGAGCGGGCAGGGAGCGGAGAAGAGGCTGGCGAGAGGGTCCAGGAGAGGGAAGGGGCCTGGGCTGCAGGGACTAGGGTAGGGGTGTCGAACTCAATCAGAGAAGGGGCCAAAATCTAAAATCCAGCCTAAATCGCGGGCCGAATGGTTTACTGAACAGTCATAAACTGTCATTGTGATGGAAACGCAGCGGAGTGCAGTGATGACAGCGCGGTGCGGGCCACATTGCAAGGCCTGGCGGGACGGATTTGGCCCGCGGGCCTTGTGTTTGACACATGTGGACTAGAGCGAGGAGGGTTCGCACGTGGGCCCCGGAAGGACCGGCCAGGGACATGGGAGGCCTTTGGCAGACAGCACCGAAGCTGGGCACGCCCAACCCTCTCCCTATGCACGGGTGGCTGCCGCCTCCAGGCGTCCCCTGCAGGGGTGGCCCAGACATGGGAGAGCCAGGCCTCCTCCCGCAGGGGCCACAGCGAGAGCCAGCACCTGGGTATCGGTCTGGGGCTCAGCCCCCTGCCACAGCTTGACTTACAACCAGGGGGCCTCAGTTTCCCCGTCTTTCAAACGTGTGGACAGCCCTCCCAGAGCTGGGGCCCAGGAGCGTGACGGACAGTCAGGTGTGTGCCTGCCCAGGCCGCCCAGGGCCTGTGGTGGGAAGTTCAGAGCTGGGAACCCCGGTGGGCGGGCGCATCACCCTCCCGCAGGCCTCCGCCCACTCGCCGTGTTTATGTTTCCTTCCCATCACCTGGGCCACCAGCGTGACTCAGCCCGGCCCAGTGGGTGAGTGAGTAACCCGCCTGGGCCGGAGCCAGGCCCTGGGGCTAGGCAATTTCCCTTCCTGGCCTCAGCGTTCCCATCTGTAGAGCAGAGGGCCGCTCGCCACCTCCTCGGGGAAACTGGGGTGAAGGCAGGGCGGAGGAGGTGGGCGCTGGGCACAGGGCGTGGCCTTGGCGCCAGGACAGAAACCAGGCTGCTTGACATCAGTCCCGAGCCAGCACCGTGCACAGCCAGCAAGACTCACCTGCCTGGCGCCCAGCCCCGCAGGCCCGGCCCCGGCCCACTTGGGGAGCCTGTCCTGACAGGAGCTTGAAGTGGAGGGAGGGTGGGGCTCGAGGCAGCCGGTGCCCCACCCCAGCCCCCTGCAGACCTAACTGCCCTTAAGTAGGTAGAGAGGCTGGCCCAGGGGCCCTCAGGGAGGGGGGGGGGGCAGTGTGCCGTGGGGCCCCTGAGCTGCCGCTGATGTCAGAGGTGGGGCCAGGGAAGGAGGAAGTGGAGGCCCGGTGCTGAGTCTGGGGGCAGGTCAGGGTGAAGTGAGCTGGGGGTGGGGACTGAGAGGCCTTGGTTGGTCTGGCTATGAATGGAGGCCTTAGCACGTGGGTCTGAAATCGCTTGTCTACCACGGTCAATCGACTGGTCATGCCTGCTTAGAAGGGGTTTGAAGCCGGTAGATGGCTCAGCAAGAGAGCAAGTGCTGGGATGGACTGATAATGTCTGCAGGGACAAAGCTTTGCAGAGTGGTGGCTGGGTGTGTGGCCGGGAGAGTGGCCTTGGCCTTGGGGGAACCCACGTGGGGAGGTTGGCCCAGGGCCTGGGGTCCCTGCTGGCGAGGAGCTGGGAGAGGGAGCAGTGCTGTTGGTCTGTCTCGCTCGGGCCCACACGCAGTCCCGCACACTCCCGGCCCAGGGCTGGGGCTTGGGACGGGTCTGCGCACTTGGAGGGGGCTGTCTTCATTCTTCCCCTTTGCCTTCTCCAGGGCCCGGGGGGAGCATGCCCCTGGCTGTAATGGTGGGTGATTGATGTGAGCTGGGACTGCACCCCATGCACGTCTGCGTGCCTTAGTGACCCGGAGCTGTGTCGCCAAGAACAGTCTAAGCATCTCAGGAGCAGACGCTGCTTTTCCCACGGGCGTCCACCATCTCTCAGAGACGGGCACCACGTTGTGAATGGCACACACTGGAGGCGGAGCAGGAAAAAGAGGAGGGAAGGAGGAGGGAGAGGAGAGGAGAAGGCCGGTCAGCCCTCGCCCTCCCTTCCTCAGAGGCCAGTACTCATTTAGGGCTCGAGGCACCAGCCTGCCGCAGGGGAGGGCCTGGCCCCCAGGGGAACAGGGATGCCGCTGGGATGGCGGAAGGAGGAGTGGGCCTGTGGGCAGGCACCGCTCCGGGGCTGCCGGAGAGGAGGGCCCGCCCCTGAGGGCAGGAACGGCCAGTCCTGAGAAGGAGGCCTGTCCCCCGCACAGGTTCCCGCTCCCAGCGTCCTGAGGGAGGCTCCGGCGGCAGAGCAAGTCTGACCCTGGGCAGGCTCCTGCTGGGCTCTGGGCCTTGTATATCAGAGGGTTGCGGGTCCCCCCACCCCTGCCCCACACACCCAGGGGCAACCCTCTGACCCATCCTATGCGCTTGTCCCACTGTTCGAGGCTGGAGGCTGGGCTTTCGCTCAGGAACCTGTGATGGGGGCCCTGGGCCCCACCAGTGGCCATTGCCGTGTTCATCCTCCTCCACGCCTGTGCTTCCACTGCCGCCCCTCCCACATGCTCTCCGGCACCATCAAACCCTGCCTCCCTACATCTGCCCCGGGGCTCTCCCAGCTCCCCCCAGTCCCTCCTCCAGGGGTCTGTTCCCACCGGCGGAGTGCAGAGGGGGAGAGGGGAGCCAAGGCAGGCAATGTGAGGGTGGTTCTCCCTCGTGCACGGGGCCAGGGACTGAGGGGTGCAGGAGAGGTCATTTCAGTTGTGCCCCCACTAGTGAGAGCACTGGCCAGTCCCTCCGGTACTGCTGCAGGGCAGTTCCTCCTCCCTGAACGGTGCTCTGGCCAGCAGGTCCCTCCCGCCCCCAGGTCCTCAGAACGCCTCTTTGAGTACTGCCTTCGTCCCTGACCACCAGCGCCTGCCCTGGCCCGGGAGAAGCAGCTCGCAGACAGAGGTGTGCACACACTGGCTGGGTGCTGTCCTGGCCAGCGCCCTTCTACAGCCGGGAAACCCAGGCCCAGAGAGGTGGCAACCGCACTCCGGGCAGCAAGGGGCAGGGCAGAATCTGGGTCCAGCCTCTCAGGCCCTGGAAGCTCTTCCCACAGGTCCTAGGACCCCAGGGAGGTGGTCCACCCAGCAGCCCAGCACAGCCCCGGACGATGGAGCCTCTCTGACTGTCATGCTGTGGGTGCCTGGGGCTGACAGAGGAGAGGCCCCTGCTTCCATGGGAGACAGCCCGGTGGCCCGGGAGGAAGCCCTCCGGTCTACATCCTCCGCAGGGGGATTACTCCAGGGCCACTCTCTTTGCGCCTCCGGGTCAGCGGAAAGCTCAACCCCTCTGGGCTACGGAGGCAAATCTCAGGTCTCAGCCCCCAACAGACAGCCCGACTCCCTCCAGCTCCAGGCGGAGGCCTGGTGGCTGTGAGCCCATTGGCCTCGGACAGAGCGGGAGGGGTGAGCCAAAGGAGATGGGGGCGCTTTGCAGGAAGGGGACGGTAGACAGACCGCGGGGCCGGGCCGCGAGCTCCCTACGGGCAGAGGAGCCCGACTCCGAAGGAAAAGCGCGGCGGCCCCTACGCACGCGCTCCGCTCGCATCGAGCCGCTTTGTTCCAGCGCTACCTGCGGCCCCATTCACCGCCTCCGCCCCGCCCCGCCCGCCGGCCAACGGGCGGCCCGCTCCCGCAGGCCCCGCCCACTTCCCGCGCTGGGCGGAACCCGCAGCGGGCCCCACCCCCTCCCACCACGTTCTCTCTCGGCCGCGATTGGCCATCTGCGCGACGCGCTCCCGCCCACCACGAAAGCTGATTGGTGCATTGGGAAGGGGGGGAGTAGGGAAAGAGCCGAATATAAAGGAGCGATGCCCCGCCCACCCGCCCCAGTGCAAAAGTCACGTGGCGCTCCGCTCGGCGCCTGTCACCACTCCGCCTAGAAAGCTTTCTTAAAGGGCTCGCTCCTCCTAGGACCGGTCCTTTCAGGATCTCCCCACCCTGCCCGCCGAGGCGGCGCGGCCCTGAGCCGTCCTGCACCGCCTGCTGTCGGGGTGCAGACTCCCGGCCAGGCCGGCTGGGGTGAGACCTCGCTCAGGTCTCGGAGCCTGTGGCCGTCTCAGGGACCGCGCAGTCACCAAAACGGTGGCTGCCTAAGCACACTCACTGCCTGGCACGTAGTAGGCGGTCAGTTTCCTCGTAGAGTGAACTCACTGAGAGGATGAACGAGTGGGATTGACAGACAGGAGGAGGGGATCGGCTCAGCGTGACCGCCCCACCCCCGGGCGTGGAGAGGGGGCGCCAGACGCAGGACGCTCCAAGGCAGCCCTTCACCATAGGGTTGGGAGCGCGGGTACAGAGGACCCCGGAGGGCGTCTTGGCAGGGCCCTCTAGGCGGGTCGGAGCGGGTTCCGGGCGGCGGCGCCGTCAGGGGAGGGCCTGGGCGCCCCGGCCGCGTGCGCGCCCGCGGACCCCTCGGGAAGGGGCGGCGGAGGCGCGGCGCCTTTAAGTCCAGGCGCCGCCTGTGGCCCCGCCCCCTGGAGGACGCCCGGGCGCGCGGCCGCCGGAGCCGCCGTTTAATTGGGGCTGTCAGGCCGCGGCGCGCGCGGAGGGCCGGACGGACGGAGGCCGGGAGGCCGCGAGGCCGGGGCGGAGGGCGCGCAGCGAGGCGGGAGCCGGCGCCGGGAGACGCGGCTGGGGCCCGCGCGGCCGGGGCGCCGTCCCTGGGCAGGGCTGCCCGGCCCCGGCCCCGGGCCACCCGCGCGCCCCATGAAAAACCAGGTCCGCGGCCCCCCGGCGCGGGCGCACATGTCGGCCTCGGGGACGGCGGCGGCGGCGGCTGGGGGCACCGGGGCGGGGTCGGAGCCCGGGGCGGGATCCGGCGCGGGCACCGGGAGCGGCGCGGCCACGGGAGCGGGGACCATGCCGAGCAAGAGCGCCGAGTGGCTGCAGGAGGAGCTGGAGGCGCGCGGCGGCGCGTCCCTGCTGCTGCTCGACTGCCGGCCGCACGAGCTCTTCGAGTCGTCGCACATCGAGACGGCCATCAACCTGGCCATCCCGGGCCTCATGCTGCGCCGCCTGCGCAAGGGCAACCTGCCCATCCGCTCCATCATCCCGAACCACGCCGACAAGGAGCGCTTCGCCACGCGCTGCAAGGCGGCCACCGTGCTGCTCTACGACGAGGCCACGGCCGAGTGGCAGCCGGAGCCCGGCGCGCCCGCCTCGGTGCTCGGCCTGCTCCTGCAGAAGCTGCGCGACGACGGCTGCCAGGCCTACTACCTCCAAGGTGAGGCGGCGGGGCCCCGCCGGGCTGGGGGGCCCCGCGGCCCCAGCCGACGCGGCGCTCCTCTCCCGGCGCGCTGCCTGCCCCCGGGCGCCACGTCGCCCCCGGCCCGCACCGCCCCTCCCGGAGCCGGGCCCCGAAGGTTTAGCCTGGGGTGTGTGTGTGGGGGGATTGGGGCGCCTCCGCACCCCTCTCTGGGTCCGATTCCAGAGGACGGAACAAACTTTCCCCGCTGGGCTTCCCTTTAACTGTTGTTGGCGCCGTAGCAGCGCCCAACTTCCAGCGGAGCCCCCGGCGGAGGGAGGGACCCGTCCTGGGCCCCGCAAAGGCGAGAGGCACCGGGTTCCGCTCCTCCGGCCGGAATGCCTGTCCCTGGAAGGCCAGGGTCGCGACAGGAGCCGGGGGCACCGCCGCCGCCCCCGGGCGCAGGGCCGTGGGGTCCCAGCCTCCCCGCATAGCCGGCTGCTGGGGATCCCGCCTTGGAGGCCCCTGGGGGGCGGGGGCTGTGAGCGGCGCTCCTCGCCCGGCCTTAGTTGGCGGGGCCCCCAGACCGGGCTGTGCCCCGGAGCTTGAGAAGAGGGAGAGCCCTGGGGTGGGGGGGGGCTCGAGTGGCTGCAGCCGGTGTTTCCAATTAACATTCCAAAATGGCCTCTCGCTGGCAGCGGGGCGGGAGGGAGGGAGGGAGGGGAGGTCTGCGGCGGGTGCCTAGCGGCAGGCGCTCCCCACCTCTCCTCCCTGCGAAGCCCCTGGTGCCCCCCCTGGACCAAGGCTGGCGGGGGGGGGTGGGGGGGGTTTGTCTTCTGTTCTGAGGGAGGGTTTGGAGCTGGAGCTGGGCCTCTTATGGATCTGCCCCCGAGGGGGAGATGACCGCCAATGCAGACCGGCGGGGGTGGGGGCAGGCTCTGCCTCCCAATCCATCCAGAGCTCGGGCCTCTGCTGCTAACCAGGACACAGCTCGGCCTCTGCAGTCTCCTCTGAAAGCGGCATGCGGACCTGCTGGTGCTGCCTGCCTTCCCTTCCACTTAGCGTTCCTGGGCACCCAGGCCAGGTGCGCAGAGGAGGGAGGAGCCGGGCCTGTGCTCCGGCCCTAATGCTCGTGGTGAGGCTGGTCCCTGACGCCTAATGAGGAAGGGTTTGCGGCTCAGGCATGTTCCTTCACCTCCTGGGCCTCAGTTTCCTCATCTGTGAAGTGGGTCACAGCACAGTGTGGGGAACACAGGAGAAGGTACACGTGTGACTTGTGGGCACAGCCCGTGTTGGCTGTTGTGATGGTGCTTGACACGGGGACAGGGGCACGGGCAGCCTCTCACCCAGGCCCTGTCCTGCCCCGGCCACAGGTGGTTTCAACAAGTTCCAGACAGAGTACTCGGAGCACTGCGAGACCAACGTGGACAGCTCGTCCTCGCCCAGCAGCTCGCCGCCCACCTCCGTGCTGGGCCTGGGCGGCCTGCGCATCAGCTCCGACTGCTCCGACGGGGAGTCGGACCGGGAGCTGCCCAGCAGTGCCACCGAGTCAGACGGCAGCCCCGTGCCGTCCAGCCAGCCGGCCTTCCCCGTCCAGATCCTGCCCTACCTCTACCTCGGCTGCGCCAAGGACTCCACCAACCTGGACGTGCTCGGCAAGTACGGCATCAAGTACATCCTCAACGTCACGCCCAACCTGCCCAACGCCTTCGAGCACGGAGGCGAGTTCACCTACAAGCAGATCCCCATCTCCGACCACTGGAGCCAGAACCTCTCCCAGTTCTTCCCCGAGGCCATCAGCTTCATCGGTAGGTGCTGCGCGCTCTGGGCGGGGAGGGGGGCCGCGCAGCCGGATGCGCACAGGACTCTGGGTACCTCTGGGCCTGCCGAGGCCTGTGTGTGCCCTGCATGTGCCAGCCTGTGCCCATGGGTGTACCCGTGCCCGCTGTGAGTCACCGAGGCCCCCAGTCTGAGCAGTCCCTGGGCCCCGGGCCCCACGGGCCCGCCTGGCCTTCCCGGCGGCTCTGTGAGCTGAAGGAGCCGGAACATCTCAGCTCGCAGACCTCCCACGGGCCTCGCTGGCTCTGCTCACGCCCTGGCACACGTGTCTGAGGCTGGGGCTGTCACGGTGCCACCTGAGTGAGCTCATGGGGGTCTGGAGCCAGAGGCCTACCCACACAGGCAGCTGCTGGAATGTGGGGACCCCGAGCGCCTTGGTGGGGCCCCAGATGCTCCCCGCGCGCTCGTTTGGAGTAAATGGAGTGAAGAGAGAACGTGGTGGAGGCTGAGGAAGGCGCCCCCAGAGCAGCGTGTTCTGCTGTTCGGCTCGGGGCCTCCTACAGCCCAGCCTCAGCTGACTTCGTCTCCAAGAGCCGCCTTATCTCTGACCCCATCCTACTTCCTCCTCGGCCAGCTGGGGGCTGCGTCCGGGGCGGGGCTCACCCTGGGAGTGGGGAAGGGACCAGTGAATGGGGACCCGGCTTCTCCGGGGCTGTGCCCAGAGCCTGTGCCGCCTCCGGTGGCAGGGAGGGTGCCAGGCAGTCTCCTGCTGGCGGCCGTGTCCTGTGAGGGCGTTTGGGTGTCAGCTGGGCTGGGCTGGCTTTAATAACAGGAAGTGGGAGGCTTCCCCGCCTCATCCGCTTACTGGGAACCAAAACTAGGTGCCTGGCTGGGAGGAAGGAAGGAAGCGGAGGCCTAGGGGCGGGGCTGGGGCTGCCGGGAGGACCCCTCCCCCGCTGTGTGCTGCCTCAGCGTCTGCGCTGGCCCCCGCCCCAGTGAGGGAGGGGAGTGGGGGACCCGGTTCCGGGCTGAGTCTGGCTTGTGGAGGCCTTTCTCCTTCCTGAAAGCCCCAGTGTCTGGGGGGGGGGGGGAGGCAGCACAGGGTGTAATGGGGACAGTTATTCCCCATTTGACGAGGAGGAAATGGAGGCCCAGGCGCAGGATCCAGCACCAGCCCCCACTGCGCAGCCACACCCCAGGCTAAAAATAAAGCGCAGAAGTGGTTTCGCTTTGGATCCCCCCGGAGTGGGTTGGGGGCCAGGCGAGGCCATATCCTGGTGTTGTCACCACCGGAGGCCCATCTCTACCTGCCGTCTGCCCCCAGCCTCAAGGTCAGACCACAGCTCCCCGGGAAGCCAGGCGCCTGGCTTCCCCTGCTGGACTCGTCTGGATTAAGCACCTACTGAATGCTTAGCCCCGGGGGAGGGGAGGAAGCTCTGCCAGGCCACAGGCTGTGGGCACCGGGAGAGGGGCGGTCTGTGACCCCCAGATCATCGTGTAGGAGTGCACTGACTGAGCACCAACTGTATGCCTGGTGCCCAGTGAGCTCACAGGCAGGGGAGTGGGAGCCTTGAGGGCCTAGGGCTGCCTCTTGTTAACCTGTGAACTTGGCACAGCTGTGGCGGGGGACAGGGGCAGCTGCCCTGGGTGTGGGGGGGGGGGGTCACAGGGGAGGGGCCAGTGGCCCACCTGTGTTTGTTGAGCTCCTTCTCTCCGAGGCAGAGGAGCTGAGAGTGGGGTGGGGTGGGGGCGGGGGAGCAGACCTGGTTGGTTGTGGGAGGGTAGTAAGGGGTCCATTTCAGCAAACCCCACTGTGAGGCCCTCCTCCCTCCCTGGCGAGCCAGAGCCAGTTGCGGGGCCAGGGCCCCTGGTCCCTTTCTGAGGGGTGCCCGGGGGAGTGGGTCACGGGCTGGCCATAGCTGGTGCTGCGACGTGGGAGGAGCCTCTGTGGCCGGGGGCTTGTCACTCTGTCCCTGTGTCTGTCCCGCAGCTGTCAGTCAGCTCACTGGCCCTGGGTGCCTTGACCGAGAGGGTGCTGGTGACGCTGGCAGCAGGGGGACCAGCAGGATGGCCGTCCACAGCCCTGTCTGGGCCTCTCTTGTAAGAGCCCGGCTCTCGGGCCTGCTCTGAGGACGAGCAGCTGAGCTGGCGCCCAGGGGCCTGAGCTGGCGCCTGGCAGAGCCCTCCCCGTCCCCGCGGTCCCGCCATGTGGGGAGGCGGCAGCAGCCACCCCTGCGCCACCCGGGGTGCCCGCCCTCCCACTCCTCGGGGGCGCCCTGACCCCGCTGTGTGTTTCAGACGAGGCGCGCTCCAAGAAGTGTGGTGTCCTGGTGCACTGCCTGGCGGGCATCAGCCGCTCGGTGACGGTCACGGTGGCCTACCTGATGCAGAAGATGAACCTGTCGCTCAACGACGCCTATGACTTCGTCAAGAGGAAAAAGTCCAACATCTCACCCAACTTCAACTTCATGGGGCAGCTGCTGGACTTCGAGCGGACGCTGGGGCTGAGCAGCCCGCGCGACAACCGCACGCCCAGCGAGCAGCTGTACTTCTCCACGCCCGCCAACCACAGCCTGTTCCCCCTCCACACCCTGGAGTCCACGTGAGGCCGGCCGAGGGCGGGCGCCGGGGCCGGGCATCGCCTGTGCCCGCAGGCCAGGCCGACGGGCGCCGAGCGCTCCCCATCGGGGGCGGACTCCGGGGGGCCCGGCCTCGGACTCAGGGCTGCGGAGCCAGACGGGCCCGGCCCGTCCGCAGGACACTTCCTACGAACGCCCAGCCAGTGGGCGGTTTTTAAAGACACAGGGACCCAGTTTACTTTTTACTTTGGCAGGTAAAGCCAAGCCCCGGGCGCCAAGGCCACCTCTTCTTGACTTTTCTTTTTTAATGAAAAGTGTTATTTTCAGGCCACATGCAGCAGTGGATTGTATAAACCAGTATTTCATCCCTTTCTTGATTCTGCGAGAGAGAGAGAGAGAGAGAGAGAGAGAGAGAGAGAGAGAGAGAGAGAGAGAGGTGTTCTCCGTTTTGTTTTTGTTTCCAAATTGCCGTTATTGACTTTTTATTTTCTTTTTTTAATGGGAAAGACGAACCCCGCGTTGACCTTGACCGAATGCATTTTGCACATGCGTGAAGCCTGTTTCTGCAGCGGGCCCTCCTGCAAGGGGGACCCTGTCACACCCACGTCCCCCAGCCCGGCCCGCCCCCAGGCCCTGCGCTGGTCTGTGACAGCTGCCGGTGCGCAGACTAACCGCAAAGGGAGCTGGGAGAAGGGCGGGAAGGGGTCCACAGGATGGGACATAAGCAGCAGCATTAGCCCTCTGGGCTCAGCCCCTGAGGGCCTGGGCCGGGCCTTTCTCTACACACCCACTACTCTGTCTCTTTTTCTGTTTGTTGGTAACAGTGAGGCCCAGTGGCCGGGGGGACCTCAGGCGGTGTGCCCCGCTCTGCCTCCAGGTGTCAGTCCCCCTCCCCCCGGCTGTTGCTCTGGGTCAGCTGCCACTCCCAGCCCTTTGTCCAGTGAGGCCTGCTCAGCGCTCACCTTGCCCATGCCTTCTGCGACCAGGAACCTTGTCCCCATCCCATTTCCGTCCCGACAGGCGCAGAGGGGCGGGGGAGGGTGGACAGTGAAAGGGGTGGAGGGTTCTGTCCACCCCCAGTCTCCACAGAACAAAGCCACGGATTCCATTCGCCTCCGGTTCTGTTCCTTCTCCAGCCTCAGTTCCACCGGGAGTCGGGACCGCGGGGGGCCAGGCGGGGAGCGGGCGGCCGCGCCCATGGCCCCTCTGCCCACGCATCTTACCTCGGGGTTGTTTTCAGGGATTCTTCACGGCAGCCACAGTCGAGAAATTGACAAAAAGGTTCCATGCTGTACATGGTTCTCTTTCTCTCTCTTTTACTTTTAAAAAGAAAAACCCAGAAAGATGCATCAGTTTGTGTAAGTTGAGAGTATGCCAAGAAGGGCCAGTTTTGCTTTATGACCTTATGAAGGAAAATTTGTGACCCTGCATATATGTACACACACACACACATCCCGGCCAGCGACGGGACTTTGTTTATATTGCAAATAAATATTATTTTTTCTTTAAAATGAACCGTGGTGTCTCAGGGACCAGGGGCCACAGGCCAGCATCCCAGCGCCTGTCCTGTGTGCAGTGGCAGCTGGGCTCCGTCGGAGGCGCCCACCGCAGGACTGCCACGCCTCGGGAGAAGCGGGGGGTGGGCAGTCCACGGCCCAGGCACTGCAGGCCGGGCATCGGCTTTTGCTGATTGGCTGACTGGGGAGGAGGCTTGGGGCGTCTGCCTGCTGGGACGTTGTCCGGGCTGCCCAGGGCCCTGTGGGAGGAATGGGGTGCACACTGATGACCCTCCCCACCCCTGCAGCTCCAGGCACAGTGGGTCAGGAAACCTGCCAGGGACCGGGCACCTGAGGTCCCTCAGCTCCGAGCCTGTTCCCATCTCTGTTGAGGGGGCCCAGTCGCCCAGACACCCATATCCCTTTCCTGTTCAGCCTGGACCTGCGGGGGGAGTTGGCCATCCAGCCAGGCCCTCGGGCTCAGGGGCAGCCCTGCAGGGAGCCGGGAAGGGCCGGCAGAAGGATGGTGCCGGGCCCGGGGAGTGAGGCCCAGTGGTGACAGCCCAGTGGTCTCAGACGGGGAGATGGGGCTTCAGAGGGGCCTTTATCTCCATCTCTAACTGGACTGAGTGGCCATGTCAGGGACAAGGAGGCTTGGGCGCAGACTCAGTTTCCCCTTCTCTGCCTCTCACATGACTTGACCCCTTCCTCCAGGTGACCTCTCCCAGGGGTCACTCCAGGCTCGTGCCCTCCCTGCCCCCTCTGCCTGGAGGGACCCTGACAGCTGTCACACTGACAAGCCTACGGTGCAGACTAGGGGTGGCTCTGAGCAGAGGGGCCTGGCCTCGTCTGGCTGTGTGGCCGCCAGCTGCCACCCCTCACTTGGAATGTGGGCACTGCTGTGCGGCCAGCAGGCGGGGGGGCGGGTTTGTATCCTTGGCAAAGGGGTGGCTGCTGCTTAGCTCCTGCACTTCCTCTGGGCCCTGGTGCTTCTGTGCCAGGGGCGGGCGAGGGGGGGGGAGCCTGGGCAGGCAGTGACTGGGCCTTTGTTCGCTCTCACTGCCCTCGGCCAGCGCTGGGGAAACCTGCGGTGCCCGCCTGGGGGCTGGGCCCTCGAAGGCTGAGTAAGTTCCTGGCAGTGCCAGCGTGCCCAAGCACAGGATGAGGGAGGCAGCCTCAGGGGGAGGCCCTCCCAGGCTGAGTGGCTCTCTGACCCTCAGTGTCCTCATCAGCACTGCGCCTGCCTGGGGACGGGGTCCAGGTCCTGGCTGGCTCTACTGTGACCTTGGGGCCTCCCTGGGTGACCTTGGGCTGGGCCATGCTTCCTCTGCGTTCACCCTGAGTCCAGGTCCTCGCTTCGTGGTCCCTGTGTTCGGACTCACGGTCCCCTCGGCACTCGACATCCCTCTGCTCCTGCCCCCCCCCCCCCCCGGCCCCCTGTGCAGCCCCGGCCGCCTCTGGCTGAGCCCTGGGTGCCTGGGTCCCCCCGCTCCCGGACACCAGCTCTCTGGGGCGGAGCTGGCTTTGTCTCTGTGTCCTCAGTGCCATCTCTCCTCCTGACCTTCCTGACCCTTTGCCTCCCTCTGCTGCTTCTCCATCTCAGCCCAGTTCCCAGCGCCCCTCCCCCGGCTCAGACACCTCTCGGCATTCCCACGGAGGAGGCCCGGAGCCACCCACCGGCTCACACATTCATCCCACAGCCATTTCCGGTGCCGCTGGGCGTCCGGGGAGTGGGAACGTGCCGGGGGCTCAGTGACGTCAGGCTGGGCGCGGATAATGGGGCCCCACTGTCCTCTGACAGATGAATCAGGTGCAGCGGCGGCGGTGACTAAGGCAGACACAGGCACGGGCTTGCACATGCGGTCTGACCACACCACAACAGACGTGAGCACTTCCTCAGGGGTGGGTCTGCCGGGCGGGGGGAGGGGGGCACCCTCAGGAGAGCCGCCGCCCCCACAGCCCCTCCCAGCGAGCAGACAGCCGTTCTTCCTCATGGATGGGCAAGAAGGGGCAGGATGCATGCCGTGTGGCCCAGCCCCTTCCCTGCTGCTGCCCCCCCGCCCCGGCCGCAGCAGCTGCCCTCGGTCAGGGTGGATGTGGCCACCACATCAGCCCCCTCACCCGGTCTCTCAGAAGCCAGAGGCCTGGCGGGAAGCAGGTGCGCCGGAGGGCGGTGCCCATGTGAACTCCCACACCCAGGAGCTGGGTTGCTGGGGGGAGCGAGGGGGGGGGGGTCTGACCTTTGACACGTTTCCCCACGGGTTCTGGGCACAGCCTCTCTCTGGCACAGCCCTCTCACCTCTTCGCAGAGGCCCTGGGACCGCTCCCTCTGGCTGCAGGTCCCCGGAGGCCCCTTGGGCTGGGGTCTTTGCTGGCCCTCAGCACCCTGGTCTGGGACTCCGGGTGGAGTGTTTTTTCATTTCGGGGCCTCGTGCCCAGAGGTGGCATTTTCGAGGCAAAGGCCTGGGCTCCAAAGGAAAGCGGGGCCTGGTGCTCACGCGGGCTGTGCGTGGCCGCCTGCCGGGCTCGTTGCTGACCTGAGCGGTCCAGGGAGGTTGGGCGACTTTGGCCTCCACCCTCTGACTGCTCCCAAGCCTGACCCCAGCTGGGCTCCCGCCCCTGGAAGCAGCATGCGAGGGCGGGATCAGCCCCTTTCCCGAAGGGATGGGCGCCGCCCAGGTGGGATAGGGCTTGGGAGGAGGTGCTGAGGCAGGGCTGCCCTGGCGTGTGCCGGCTGCAGGGGCCAGACTCAGGGAGCAGGTATGGGCCTGGGGGCTCCTCAGAGCAGGGGCATCGCGGTGAAGAACTTCCTGCTGCTCCCCCGGGCCCAGAGGAGAGCTGTCTCAGAGAGCCCCCCGCCCCAGCCTGTCCTCTCTTGCAAATCTCTGCATCACCCGCACCTCCTGCACCCCCACTTCCTCTCTCCGGCTCACATGCTTCCTCCAGGAAGCCTTCCCAGACTCTTCCCCCATCGGGCGCACCGGTGCCTGCTCTGGCTCCCCTGGCCCTCTGTGCAGCCCCATCCCCGGGAGGCCTGGCTGGCCAGGGTGCTGGGTCCGGCTGGGACCTGGGCACCTCTGAACGCCAGGCCTGTGGCCTGTGCGCATGGCGTGTGCCGCGCGCACGGGTGCTGGTCCTGCACCTGCTCAGAGCTCCAGGGGGAGGCTGGCACCGCTCTGCCCACGGACTGGGCCTCCCGCCTCTGCGCCCACCGTGGTCGCTGCCGCCCCCTTTGGCTGCAGAGGAGGGCTGGCAGCTCCTGCTTCTAAGGCCCGCCTCTGCCTCAGCTGAGTGGCGGGGTCTGGAGGCCACGCTAATTGATTAATTAAGCCCTCTCGGTTAATTAGCTCCATCCCTCTGGGGGGAAAGGCTCTCTCTGAGCCAGCTCTCCTCTGGGCGGGGGGAGGGCTAATTGGCCTGGGTCAGCGGAGCCCGATGCCAGGTGCGGGGGCAGCGGGGAGGGGGGCGGGAGAGCAGTGTGGGCACTGAAGCCGTGCAGGCCGCCGGCCGGGCAGGGGGGCCCCAGCTCGGGCCGGGACAGGCCACTCCTGGGGACCCTGCCCAGCCGCTGGCTCTCCCCGGAGCCCGGAGGGGGCGGGAGCCGGGCCGATGGAACAGGCCACGGTGCAGGCAGCGGCCACACCGGGCAGGGAGACTCCAGACCTGAGGCCTGGAAGGGCTGCAGGAGAGCTTGCTGGACAGGGAAGCAGGGCCGCTGGAGCCGAGGAGGCGCCCAGTCAGGTTTGGGTTTGGTAAAGGCGGGGGGGGGGGGGGGGGGGGGGGGGGGCGCTGCTGGGGGCCTGGGAGCTGAGGATGGAGGTGCCCAGAGAGAAGGAGGCCCACGGGGAGGGGGTGCTTCTGGAGGCTAGTGCTGTGCGCCTGGACCCCCAGTCCCTTCTCCGGGCCCCTCTCCCCTCGTCGGCGAGGTGGGGGCGTTTCCCGGGGCCTGGCCTCAGGCTCGGTGTCCGGGCCTGTGTCCTTGTCCCGGGACCAGGCAGCCTCTTCACCCCCCCGCTCCCCGCCTCCCCGCTCCCATGTGTGCAGAGAGCAGAGCCCGCCCCCACCACGGGGTCCCTGACACACTCCGCTGCACTGTGGGCCCCGTGGGGCTGGCCCGGGAGCGGAGGGGCCGGGCGTCCGACCACCGCGGGGCTGGGCGGGCGGGGCTGGCCTTGGCACGGGCCTGGGGGCCTGTCCCCGCTCCCCGGGGCTGCCCGGCGGGAACAATGCCCCTTTCACGGCACCCTCTCCGGCACAGCGGCGTCGGCCGCGGGGGACAAAGGCGCGCTTCATCCTCAGGGGGCCGGATCCGCAGCCGCTGCCCCACCCGCCGGCCTGCACCTTCTCCCCGTCCGGCGGGCCTCGGCCCCCCAGACCCCCCTCCGCCTGACGTGTCCCTCTGGGCTCCATCGGGCCGGGCCGGAGCCCATCGCCAGGAGGATGCCAGCTCTGCCCGTCCCTCCCGCTCCTCCCGGTCCCTCCCGGCCCCGCTGTCTTCCTCCTGCGGGAAGGGCCGGCCGAGGCCGCCTCCAGGCTCCGTTCCCATCTGCACCCCAAGGAGTACGGCTTCCACTGGGCTCTGTCCCAGTAGGGCTGGCCGGCCCCCAGGAGAGGGGGGGGCGCTGGCCCAAGGGGAGGGGAAGCCGAGGAGGCCCCTTAGCCGACCTTCCGGTGGCTTCCGTGGTGTGGCCACCTGAAGGCTCCCTGCTCGCCCCTGGTGAGCCCCACCGTCCGGAGCACCTGGCTGTGGAGGGGGGCCCGGACCTGCCCAGGGGCTCCTCCTGCAGAGGCCTCGCCCCCTCCCCCTGCGCCCCAGCTTCCTCCCTCTCCGTTCGGCAGGGAGGGGGGCCCTCGGGAGGAGGCCCAGGCTGGGGGCCGGACAGACGCGAACCTTGACCCCCTTGGTCAGAGCTGGTCGGGGGGAACCTGGGAATGAGGGTGTCAGGGCCCAGAGCGGGGGCTGTGGGGGTGGGGGGCCTGCAGGCAGCCGTGGGGAAATCGGTCACTACGTGATG